TTATTTAATTGGTGACGTATAGGACGCCATTGTTGAAGTCACACAGTCATTATCGAGATGCAACAATAGACGATGATGCTACACCTTTCGGGTAGGTTCGTTCGTTTCTGTTTTCATAGAAAACAAATTAAATTTTCTTATATGTATGGTTGTAGCATACTCAGTTTACGAAACTTTTGACTGATCGCGCAGTTCAAGAAAACGTTTAAGAGTGACGTTCAGTGCATTACTTACCCATTAGACTGTAGGCAAAGAGGTATCGATAGGGAATCGATTGCTAGCCTGAAGGTGAATGCAATAATTGACAAACTAGTTTATCAGTCAGTTTCACAATTTTAGAATTTCCACTTCGTTAAATTCGTCATGATACATATTTAAAGGTACTCAACATAATACAACAGTATACATGATTGCATATAGTATACCCGACACACTCTAACTAAAACATTACCCGAGTTGGTATTCACACAAGATTCATTCAAGTTCAGCCACAATACATATTCCAAAAGGTAAACAACGTAATACAGTTTACAGAGTTGGCATAATCTGTGCACAGGAGTATTACCATGGGAATATCTGAGATATGCACCCAAGTATGACGTTTTCATTTACCAAATAGACTTGCAGGTATTGCCCGGGGTAATAGCATATAGTTTTAACATAGTAAACACAGATACAGAGAAAGGTATTAACGCCTTAAATTTGTTTTCCTGACTCTATCTGACCAGCACGTTGAGAGATACTGGTCCCGAACTATGTGTATTATTGGCAGGTTTAAGATACTGGAACATGGTCTGTTAGTTTGTAACATTCCCTAGTTCCAATTCTTAATATGTGGCATGTGACGTAATAAAATATTTGTAAAACTTGTCCATTTTTCCAATGTTATCCAGGATCTTTCACTGAACTTTAATATTGTTCAGAAAAGTGTTGAACCAAACACAAGCATCCGTCTTCATTCGAATGAACACGTTGGTACTCATATAATAAATATATCATTAAAGTATCTACAGTCCAGAAAAACATGCTCTTCACAAGGAAAGACGATATTGTGACAACGTGGCTCATTTATGGCCTGGTGCAGATAATGACGAGAGGAACGATCTTTCAGGCAATGTGTTGCAATTGTATTAGCGTTTCGTGTATATTTGTTAGCACTTGGCTAAATAGTCATCGGTAGTCATCGAACCCTCACCCCAAGCGTTGCTCATTCCCAAAGGATTCTTACATTATACATGCAATCCTATTTTTAGAGGCATTTTGGTTTGTCCAAAAGGCCTAACAAATAGAAATAACACTGGTGTCGTGTGCACAATGGGAATTCCTCTGTGACATAGGTCACGTGTTCATCTATGTCTTCCAGGGGAAATATACAGAAATTAATCAATGCATGTAAATTATGCATTAAATAACTTACAGAAAAGAAGTTTATATAAGTACTAGTTTACCATCGACACACTCACTGCATCTGTTTCGATATATCAGTACACATATTGCGCGGCATCTCCATTCTGACAAATCAACAAGTAACACAATTGTAATCAATAAATTTATTAAAAGCATAAAAAGGGTTCATCAATATTGTACTTAATTGTGAACACCACCAATGTGGGGAGTAAAAATGACAGAAAAACCCCATAAAATGGAATATTGACACATTATTTTTCACAGCTGACGGGATGTATAGAGACGTGAAAGAGCGATAAAACGCCACATGCTAAATACATGTTTGCACACTTTAAAACGTCAACATTAACATCTGTAAAATATAACAAAATAAAATATACGTAACGAGTTTCAGAATCAATCATTAACTGAAAGCAGTAACCTTAAAACGTTGGAGTAAAAGTTGTACATCAATAATGTATTATTTAATATCTTGGAACACCTTACAGTTGTGGTAAAGGACAGATTATACAGGGGGAAAAACATAGAGCTGAATATTGACACAATATTATACTGAGATTACAGCCGATAGTCCGTGATATATTACACTCCCCTGAGAACTGATCAGGGTAATATAACAGTGCCATGCGCTTTAAGCGGACCCCGCCCTGGCCCTGCTCTTTATAAGTCACCTATTGTTACCACAATCATTCTAATTTTCATTTATGATGTGTCCACAACATCTTGAAGAAATGGGTCGGCGACTTAGTAAACATTAAATTTCCTTTGTTGTTTAAAAACATTTTCGTGATTGTTTTCCAAGTCATGCCTGAACTTATTACATTAAATCAATCTCAATCGGGGTGTAAGTTAAATATATGCAGGAATTATGCCCCGACAGGGTGGGGTGTAAAGAGACAAGTGAAACACAACATGCTGAGATACATGTTTTCGCACTTTAAAAAGTCAATATCCACATCTACATAATGTAACAAATTACAAAAGAAGATAATAAAAGTTAAGATTATTATAATCAATCATACCCTGAAAGAAGATAGCTTTAAAACGTCTCATTTTTATTCGTCTGTAATACAGACTTCTTTTAGACATAATTATACACTACACATATATAAATGACCATGTAATGGGTTGCATTTGTGAGAAGCTGAAGACTTAATTTCTGTTTTTGAGCAATAGATCTAGAAGATGATAAATATAAGTGGCAGTGGCCAGAAATTTGTTTGGACTTGTACACACATGGGTATGTATTTGGCTCCTGAAAAAAATTGATAATATTGACTAATTTGGCTAGTTACGAGTACTTAACCCAATCTGAATTTACATGTGACAAATTATATCTAAATGTATCAATATTTGTTGTACCACAAGTCAGTTCTAGTCATTATTCAGCGATGTTTGACCTCGTCAGTATTGACTAATTTGACCTATGTTTAAAATTAAATTATTCAACAAATTAAATGCGATTAAATCCATCAATAGTTACACCCGATAAAACACGGGAACATGTTTCTCACAGGTTTAGTCAGTTTTACGTGGCCTCTGACCTGGTTGATATAACCTACTTTGCTGATTTTGAACTCGGTCTGGATCCATAATGCACAATCTGAATACCAAATTTCATCAAATTCATCACTCAGCATGGTATCTTGACTATATCGCCCGATAAGCAGCATGCCTTACCTTGATATACACTTGAGCTACTGGATATTGACCAATTTGGTTGGTTATCCATCGTAACATGCCTATTCCATGTACGATGGACAACTATATTGTTGGTGGATATCTGATATACAAGTAAGTTATTTTACAGCCATTGTCATCCCCTAGTGACCCCGTTATAGTCGTCCAATATTACCGGCTATTGTACATGATCTGTTGGTAGGGGATGACTTAATTCTGTAATAAGAGTAGCTGCAGTTTGTTACTGCGAATGGCAAGTGAAAAAGTTTCCTTTCGAATATTGGTCAAAATATGTTACACATTGTTCTAAACATTCAATTGTTATACCATGCACACACATGTAGTAATTCAGTGGGCGAAGCCGTAAACCAAGTAATAGTAAATTTAAGACATGGTCTAAATGTTATGATCACAAGTAACAAGTACTGTCCAATAAAACCATTGCTCAATCATAAGTATCGTGTCATCACAGGCATTGTCGCATCACAGACACTGTCCACTTACAAGGACTGTCCCTACAAAAGTTCAGTCCGACACTATCCCATCACATGCACTGTCCCATCACAAATACTGTCCTAATCACAAGCACTGTCCACTCACGACCACTGTCCCTACAAAAGTACTGTTCAGTCAGACACTATCCCATCACAAGCACAGTTCAGTAACAAGCATTGTCCCATCACAGATCAGAATGGCATTGAGAGGCTGCGTGATTAAGCAAAATATTCCTTCGGCTAGAAGCAAATTCCACAGAAGAACTGATTCCGTCATCAATGGGCCAGTCAATAGCACATTCCAGTTCCGCTTGAGGGATTCTGGTAAACCGACGTTTTTTGTTGGTTCCACTCAGAACTCTTTTTCTTCTTTGAGCAAGTTCTGGGTTGTTGATAAGCGTGTAAGCCACAAGCCATCTTCTTAAAGCTTTCGTATTTCTTCTCACTGAAATCAGATCAGAGGAACGTTTTCATACTATTCCTGGTTTGAAATGGTATTAGTAGAATACACAAAGGTTGAACAAACTGAATACTATAGTAACACATAGAATATAGTCATATGATCATATTGCCTTTTGACTTTGTACCACATGTAGTGTATGCCGAACACATTGTCCAAGGAGAAATAATGTTGTGTCCGGTTCTCTTTGTTTATATGGATCATTTTCACCTTACTTGTATTTTCCGCAAACATGCATTGCTTTCTGATGTATTACAATATTTGAACAATAAATATTAATTATTAAGAGCCGTGGACAATAGCTATTGATCTAGAGCTACGACGTCAAATATATATAGGCAAGTGTTGGCAATGTTGTAATAAAAGTGACAAAATCCTTTTCTTATTCTTCAGAAATCCATTGTACGATCCCGACTAAATCATGATCATGTGTTTATGAATCACTATCAAAAAGGGATGATACCAGGTGTTCATAAAAAGGTGAGCGTACATGTGTCCTGTCCCACCGATGGCACCCGTCAAAGCACATTCGCCTCAAGAACGTTGCAGTAGATACAGCATTAAATTACGGTTGCTCTACAAGATCAGATGGTGGACAGGTAACGGTTTTTACTACTGATTTCGCTGCAATGAAATTTACTCCTTAAGTGTAGCTGCAGCGTTACTGACAGGCACAGTATTACCGATTATTGGTATTAATGCATGGTGGTTGACTCGGCACACTAAGTATTCGGGTTCAACACTACACATAAAATGTGAAATCGATTCTCAGTTTACCTCGAGGTGGCATGGAAGAATCTCACTACAATGTGGTGTATATTTGTAAAACCATACTCGCTGCTCACGTTTACCAATATATACCACATGATATATAATGTGTTAATATATATGTTACCCGTATTATAGTGTTTATTGACACCCAACACACGAATAAAACGGTAACGGTAAATAAAACGTACCCGGTGTCTGATATGTGTGCTGATGTCCATCCTTATCCAGAGCTGTCAGTAACAGGTCGCAGAAGACTCTCAACACCGGGTGGTTGTGTGCGTTCTCCACGTGCAGCATGGAGATGTACGACAGATAGCCTATATGTGAGAAGAAACCGTTATTAATGATGTGTGTTGGCGTGCATGAGGGTGGCTAATACTTGAGAGAGAAAGTACCTCAGGTTAACGCTCCCACAATATATAGTTGTTAAAATTAAATAGGCAATAGAATGTAGTGTGAAATAACTATTTGCCTTCCCTTTTCACTATAAATGGTATCTTGAAGCAGTGGCCGACAAAATCTCGTCAATAAAAACTGAGTTAGACGGCTGGGCCATTTGTACCCCTCCTTAAAAGAGCATATATTGGGGGCATGGCGGAGGCCAAAGGCGACGCAAATCACTGTAACGCATTACCTTCATAGCCGAGCATGGATCTGCTAGAGATTGATTTAAAGCCAAATTCGTCTACATTACCATTCTGTGACCTGTACATGTGCTTCTTCCAGCACAGGTCCTTCCTCATAAGCAGGTACATTGTCCTATCATTGAAATACCGTTCAATTGCTATAAATGAAGGTTTTTCAAAAGGATAACGACTGATAATATAAAGGTTAAACAACAGCCTTGACATACCTTTGTCTCTGTGTTCCCAGCCCCTTGAATATATGCTGTGATCCAGCCGACCAACCATTAAGACACCAAGAATGAGCCCTTGTAGAATTCTCCAGAAACACGAAAATATTCCAATGGCCAGATTTCCGAACAAGGCGTAGTAATTAAAGCATTCATAAAAGCGCCTGAAATTATATTGAAGTTATCTTCAACATGTGACTTAATGATCTGTAATTGGATCTGTTCATGATCAGGTTATTGGAAACACTGTGTCGGCCCTAAAACACACGTTTTCGTGGTATGGTTTGATTATTGTTATTGAACCTATCACTTCGAAATTGATTGAGCAATACTCCAGCGTTAGCACGGTGGTGGACGCCAGAAGTGAGCCGCACACATTTTACTCATAAAGGGAATCAAACCCGGACTTTCGGGGTGATGAGCGAACGCTAGGCTTCCCAAAAATCCCCACTTAGACAGACAACTCCAAACCCTAGTGAGTGAATCAATAATGTACGTTGTACGCCGCAGTCAACAATATTTGAGTGGGTGACATCCTAAGCACATACATCCAGGCCACACATTGTGTCCACCTGGTCCTCATTAATATGTCCCTGAATCACCACAGGGTCTCTAAACAGTAGGGTTGAGATTACTATTGAGACTGAAGCTTTTACAGTACCTGTTGTCCACATTTAGAGGAGGTGTGTCATCTGTTACCTTGATCTTCTCTTGCATGAGTACACGTTTGGCAAGGACAACTTGTAGATAGAACAACAGCAACGCCATGGCTGGAACACTTGTACAAAAAACAACTTTCAATAACTTTCAATAAAACAAAACTCCTGAAAGTATCAATATGTCAGCTTAATGTTTACAAATATTTATTTGTTTTTCTTTAATGTTTATTTGAAAAGCGCCACTTGGTATATTCCTAATCCATCATGGTCATGTGTTTGTGAGATGGTGATATAATTGCATAAATACATATTGTAATTGTCAAATACGGAATGACTTTTCAAATTTCAGAATTAGCTATGGTGTTTTTATGTCTTTTTTAATATGACAACGTTTGTACCAACGCTCAAAGCGGTGTTTTGTAGTGTTGATTGGAGTATCAATAAAAGCAGTTATTCATATACATGATGTACATTATGTATGTACAAGTTTGTTTTTTTCAATTAATCAAAGTATACACCTTTTTATATGAACACATGTCATAATTATCACACCGATTTCTCCCCGTGGGGATTTCGTGTCACCAGCAACTGATCATGATGCTGGACGTAAGAGGCTGCCAAATGAATCGGGTAGTCAGGCTCGGTCATTAGGTTGATAGCGTGTCATCGTACCCCGACTGTGTAGATCGTTGCACACAAAAGTCATATAACTGCTGGTCCAGACTCGCCGTCATATCATGCTGCCATCATACAGCTGGCATATTGCTGATTGCGGCGTTAAACAACAAACACAAAACAAAATTATACAGAATCACGAAGAGGCCCAAAAGGACATTTAACATTCCTTGTCCTTTGTAACAGTTTTTGGCACATGTGTTGACACGAATCTGTATTAAACTACCTTATTTTTTGCTACAGCAATAATAACACCGTAGTGTTCACACAACTAGATGTACCTTATTGTTTGTAACAGCGATAAAAGAACATCTGTCAGGATGTGATTGATAATGGTCAGATATATCACGTAGGTGAGCATCAAGCCCGCGACCAAAAGTGCAACAAACAGCAGGCCAAACCCTGCAAAATAGAATACACAAAATTAATGAATTGATTTACAATATAAGTATTGCAGAGAACATTATTATTTGAGTGTATATATATGACCGGAAACACATACAGTGAAACATTGCTAGTCCGGACCCCGTTAATCCAAAAACGTCACCTTCCGGACGATCTTCTTGGAAGCGGTTACATGACAAGTGACTTCAGTACCAAAGATGCGTTAATCCAGAAACGTGTTAATCCGGACAAAAACGGTCCGGAGGTTTAAATATCTTACTAACATTAACTTGAAACCGCATGTCATATTATCCACCTTACATTTCGATGTGCTTCAGCATCTAGACCTATCCGATATTGCTGCGTAACATTTAGGAAAAATTAAACATATCAGTGACTAAAATAATTTGAAGCTGTTACCCCACAACATGTATGCAACTTGATATCCAGGAAAGCGCATGCTGCTGGCCTGAAAGCAGAAAAAGGAAAATATACATTCTTCTTTTCAAATAAACCATTGCGAAAATCACGTTAATATAACCGGTACCAGGGCCCGTTTATCAGGGCACACGCCTTCAGGGTGATGTCTGTTGCAAAAAGGACGAATAAGGACCAGGGCCCTTTTGGTCCACTGAAAAGTTAAAAATTGTCAGATTTTCAAATGATCAATATTATTTTATGATTGTACTGTCTTCGTGTACAATTGCAACTCCTTAGAAAATCGCCTTGGCCCAAGAATTTTGCCAATCCTCAATTATTAGAATAAAACGCTTCTTAAAAACTGAACAGATTTTACTCTCATATATTCCATGATGTTAGTAATGTTATAAATCCCAAACATGCAAGTATTGACATGAATAACGTCTTATTCTCCGTCATATCAGCACAATCAATAACTTTCATAATGATTAATATAATACTTTCTGGAATAATTATAATGCCCCCATAATGCTTCTTCCCGGGGGCAAAAGTGCCCTTATCAAACCTTGTTTATAAGTAAAATTAAAGGGACATCACAACGTAACGAAATTAATATTTCTTTGATTCGTAAATGGGTCTATCCAAACGATTTCACTTGGAACGGTATAGTCCGAATTATGATTTTCACTACATAAGACCCACTAAGCTTTGAATATTCGATTACTTTAAGTCTAGATATAGGTTCGACTACCAGATACATAATCAAGGGTATTGACTGAGTCAAATGTCTGTCAGCGAGTGAGTGGGGGTTTATGCCGAATTTGCAAAAGTGCCCAAGTGATAATCCGACAGGATTTTAAGTATACCCACGTCGGGAACTCTGGTAATTCGCCTGATGAGCGAACGCTTTATTTATCCTTTATTTTCCCCACGTCCTTAAAGAGTTGAAGCATATAAAATCAAAGCTAATTATCCATTTACATCATTTTCATCCATTCATATAATTTTCACTGCTGTTTGCCTTTACAACGCAATAGGAATTATTTTATCGGATAATAGACTGATTATTCTCTGGCGTTGACGTTATATTTTACTATTATATTGGCAGGGCAATACTGCTCATTGAAAATAAATAGGACCTGGAAAGTATTCAATTGCGACCATCCTTCCCAGTAGGTATAATGTTAATAAACATACCATCATTATATGTGGTTTCGGCAGTTGATCGAGAATGAAACTCTTGTTTCCCCGAAACATGCGCAGCAAATGACGTCTGTAAATAGAACAGGATCATGATGGTCTTCAAATGAATTAATGACAGCTAAATCAGTTTAATTGGATTGACAGGAACGCATCGTTTACCTGTAACTCTTCATAAACAGGTAGATGTAGAATGTAGTGACTATCACACATACGATCGTTGTGATGTAGAACACGCCTGCAACATGGGAAACAAACTGCGTCAAATTCGCATCAGGAAGACAATAATTGATTATTGCTTAATACTAAGCATATTCCTACGAAGTATTCATATGTGTAAAACGGGTTCTTCAAAATAAAACATTCAACACATGGCAAAAGAGAGACATGTGAGGATAAAATGGTTTAAATACGACAATATATAAAGCATGTAAACACAATGTGTCTGTTAAAAATTATATCACATGTGACCATTACTAATCTGAATGTGTCATGTAGGCTTTAGACTTACAACAAGGTTGCTTAGTAAGTCCATACCTTTTGTCGTTTTCCGTTTAAAAACTGTTTGTAAAGGTACGCGAGGCGTACATATATTTGCTAGGTATTGATGAAATATTAATGGTACTGTATTTGCTGATATCATTCCTTCTCAATAAATGTACTCGAGTTTGTTTTTTATTTTGACAGTTAATCTAAACAAAACATGGCTTTAAACCTGTTAACATATGGGCATAAAATTTTCTTGTACACTCCTTTTTATCTTCCTTCAACATATGTACATCTGATTTAGTCACCTGAGAATACAAATTCAAAATTAACCGACTATGATAGATAATATAGAAACCTCTGTGTGATACTTCAAGTATTGGGTGTCCAATCGCAAAACATAAAATATAATTACTTGTGTAATGCCAGTTTCATAAACGCTAAAGTTAGATTGGTTTCCCAAAACGACGATAATTTGTTATTTCAACTGAATAATATTGAGCTTAGAACATGCGCTTAAATACGTATTTTTTAAATATACAGAGTTATTAAATACATGTATGTTTATACACACGTGGGATTATAAATGAATTCGAGCTCAAGACATGTGCTGTATATAGTGTATGAATGTTAATTAGAAGGTGAAAAGAATTTTCCATCATAACAGAAGAAACTCTTAAAAAACCCTTTCTTATATGTTTAGACCTGAGATAATGAAGACAGTTATAACTTAAACACATAGAAAAACAAAGAGAGGAAGTTATGTATGTACATTCTCCTTTGAGGATGAAAACAATATATATCGTATGATATAATTTAAAAAATCAACACCAGAGAATAATCAGTCTCGATTATCTGTTGCAACAGATTCAATTGGGGGTACATGTTAAAGGTACGGGTGTCCTGCTCTACGATAGGATCCGTCAATATATGTGCTAATGTAAACTATATTGTATAACTATTTCCCGCTATATACACTTGCCTGGTCAAGTTTCTGTTTGCATTTACCCCTTTACGTACACATAATAATGCATCGCACTTGCAAGAGCCGACATACACATAAACCTTCTATTGTACATGCGCATTGGGCAACAACCAAATGAAACGCAACATTCACAGCGGAGGAGATACGTCATCCAGAAATTCTTATGAAGGAAGGGAGGCATTATTTGGGGTAATGAGGATTAAACAAACTCCCTACTACTTTTGTGCATGTCACATCAGTCAAATGAATGTTTCATACAATTCTCACAAGACAGCACAAAAAATCATCGATCAGGTGTGTTGGTAATTATTACAAGTGTTACTAGGAGGTCATTTGGAGTCGTGAAACAATAAAGAGAAGAATATTTCAAAAAGCGAACGAATAGCCCACTCCACAGTGTCATACCTACAAGTAGATCCAATACAACTGGCGTCATCAAATAAAACCTGGTTTCACCGACGGGAATTGAAAAATTCTGACCGACGAAATAAAACTCTGACAAGTCGGTAATTAGAGAACCAACAAGAAGCAGGGCCAATCCAAGCTGGAAAAGAATCAATTTAATTATGTACATGCTCACATTCAAAACATAATTATGAAACGAAACCTAAGTTTAAGTTATAAATCTCTGTTTTTTCTGTGTGTCGACAACGTGGCGTTATTTCAACCCTGACATATGTGATTATAGTGAGTTTGGTTTAACTCCGCTTTGAACAGAATTTCAGGTACTTATAATGTGGGGAAAGTGGCCGAAGTGATGCAGATCTGTGGAACTAACATACTGGTGAAACACATGCGTCGTATATGTTACTGCAAATCATAATCAGGGTGAATTGTTGGATCAACCATATGAGGCTAAGGGAGACAACTCTACATTGCGGCGCTCTAGACGTCTTGCCCACCATGCCCCCATATATGACGATTGTGATGATGGCAGCAACGGTGACCCTTTGAATTCTTGGATTTGCCGAGGACTTCCATGTTGTTTCGAATGTGAACATTTGAACTATCTTCTTCATACACACATACACTTTAACCAAATAACAAGACATAAATGAATTTCAAAATTAATGTACACTTTGGTATCAATAAGGGCGGCCAGTGGTTAAAGCATTCGCCCGCCACCCTGAAAGCCCGCAGACGAGTCCCAAAAAGGGTTGAATTCGTGAAGCATATTTCTGGAATATTCCTGTAAGCGGCGCAAAACCATAATCACTAACAGACCCTACGTGGATACTCTGGGGAGTAATTGGATGCAACGATCATATGTATGATGATGACTGATCATAAATGAAATGGTTGAAACTTCCACCCGGGTGTTAGTGGATGTAGTATTCTCTGGTTTTAACAGCAACCCGTGTGTGCCCAGGTGTGGCATTACGTTGTTTCAACGTCCGCCGCTCTACTGGTATAATGAGGTTTTAAATCAATAGACGTGGTATAATTAAACTATACATGGGTTCAAGATAACCGCATTCTACTTACTCTGTATAGAAGAACTAGCAGTATGAAGGCCACAGATATAATTCGTACAGGGTATTTGAATCCAGCCACGGATCTGTAGATCAGTTTATCACAGGTTGTCGTCTCTGTGCTGAAATACAGTGTTATACAGTGCGCAACATCACGGTAGTTTGAAGGCTACATTGCACAAATATGAATTAATTTGATTACTTTTTTAATCAGAAAACCAAAACTGTCAGTGATTATTTATTCTAATAAATGCTACAGATCTTCGTATTATAAATTACGCAACGCTGATTCAGTTCTGCTGCCACTAGATGTTGTAGTTTGATAAAGCGCCAGTTTTGCCTGTTACTATCATGCAACAGTTCACGAAAATGCTACATGTCCACATGTCAATATGCTAGCTATGGATTCATACATGCCAGAAGAATGATACAGTTAAAAATGCATGTACCACTATAATTTTACAGTCCTTTAAGTAACTTAATTAATGCTATATTCCTACAGTACCACCATAATGCTACAGTCCTACATGTTACTATAGTGCTACCGTCATAGATGTCACTATAATGTTAGACTTACAAGTACAATGTATATAATTATAATATTACATACCTACATGGTTCGCAAGGATACAGTCCTAGATGTTCCTTTAATGTTACATACCTACATGGTTCTACAACGCTACAGTCCTACGTGTTCCTATGTAACATACCTATATGGTTCCACAACGCTACAATCCTACATGTTCCTATGTTACATACCTACATGATTCTACAACGCTACAGTCCTACATGTTCCTATGATACATACCTACATGATTCTACAACGCTACAATCCTACATGTTCCTGTGATACATACTTACATGATTCTACAACGCTACAGTCCTACATGTTACTATGTTACATACCTACATGGTTCTACAACGCTACAGTCCTACATGTTTCTATGTTACATACCTACATGGTTCTACAACGCTACGGTCCTACATTTTACTATGTTACATACCTACATGGTTCTACAACGCTACAGTTCTACAGGTTCCTATGATACATACCTACATGGTTCTACAACGCTACAGTCCTACATGTTACTATGTTACATACCTACATGGTTCTACAACGCTACAGTTCTACAGGTTCCTATGATACATACCTACATGGTTCTACAACGCTACAGTTCTACATGTTCCTATGTTACATACCTACATGGTTCTTCAACGCTACAGTTCTACAGGTTACTATGTTACATACCTACATGGTCCTACAACGCTACAGTCCTACATGTTTCTATGTTACATACCTACATGGTTCTACAACGCTACAGTTCTACAGGTTCCTATGTTACATACCTACATGGTTCCACAACGCTACAGTCCTACATGTTCCTATGTTACATACCTACATGGTTCTACAACGCTACAGTCCTACAGGGTTCCTATGTTACATACCTACATGTACATGGTTCTACAACGCTACAGTTCTACATGTTCCTATGTTACATACCTACATGGTTCTACAACGCTACAGTCCTACATGTTACTATGTTACATACCTACATGGTTCTACAACGCTACAGTCCTACATGTTTCTATGTTACATACCTACATGATTCTACAACGCTACAGTCCTATATGTCACTATGTTACATTCCTACATGGTTCTACAACGCTACAGTTCTACAGGTTCCTATGATACATACCTGCATGATTCTACAACGCTACAGACCTACATGTTACTATGTTACATACCTACATGATTCTACAACGCTACAGTCCTATATGTCACTATGTTACATTCCTACATGTACATGATTCTACAACGCTACAGTCCTACATGTTCCTATGATACATACCTACATGATTCTACAACGCTACAGTCCTACATGTTCCTATGATACATACCTACATGATTCTACAACGCTACAGTCCTACATGTTACTATGTTACATACCTACATGATTCTACAACGCTACAGTCCTACATGTTACTATGTTACATACCTACATGATTCCACAACGCTACAGTCCTACATGTTTCTATGTTACATACCTACATGATTCTACAACGCTACAGTCCTATATGTCACTATGTTACATTCCTACATGGTTCTACAACGCTACAGTTCTACAGGTTCCTATGATACATACCTGCATGATTCTACAACGCTACAGACCTACATGTTACTATGTTACATACCTACATGATTCTACAACGCTACAGTCCTATATGTCACTATGTTACATTCCTACATGTACATGATTCTACAACGCTACAGTCCTACATGTTCCTATGATACATACCTACATGATTCTACAACGCTACAGTCCTACATGTTCCTATGATACATACCTACATGATTCTACAACGCTACAGTCCTACATGTTACTATGTTACATACCTACATGATTCTACAACGCTACAGTCCTACATGTTACTATGTTACATACCTACATGATTCCACAACGCTACAGTCCTATATGTCACTATGTTACATTCCTACATGGTTCTACAACGCTACAGTCCTACATGTTCCTATGATACATACCTACATGGTTCTACAACGCTACAGTCCTACATGTTCCTATGATACATACCTACATGGTTCTACAACGCTACAGTCCTATATGTTCCTATGTTACATACCTACATGGTTCTACAACGCTACAGTCCTATATGTCACTATGTTACATACTTACATGGTTCCACAACGCTACAGTCCTACATGTTCCTATGTTACATACCTACATGATTCTACAACGCTACAGTCCTATATGTCACTATGTTACATTCCTACATGTACATGATTCTACAATGCTACAGTCCTATATGTTACTATGTTACATACCTACATGATTCTACAACGCAACAGTCCTATATGTCACTATGTTACATACCTACATGATTCTCCAACGCTACAGTCCTATATGTCACTATGATACATTCCTACATGTACATGATTCTACAACGCTACAGTCCTACATGTTACTATGTTACATACCTACATGATTCTACAACGCTACAGTCCTTTATGTCACTATGTTACATTCCTACATGTACATGATTCTACAACGCTACAGTCCTACATGTTCCTATGATACATACCTACATGATTCTACAACGCTACAGTCCTACATGTTCCTATGATACATACCTACATGATTCTACAACGCTACAGTCCTACATGTTACTATGTTACATACCTACATGATTCTACAACGCTACAGTCCTACATGTTACTATGTTACATACCTACATGATTCCACAACGCTACAGTCCTACATGTTTCTATGTTACATACCTACATGATTCTACAACGCTACAGTCCTATATGTCACTATGTTACATTCCTACATGGTTCTACAACGCTACAGTTCTACAGGTTCCTATGATACATACCTGCATGATTCTACAACGCTACAGACCTACATGTTACTATGTTACATACCTACATGATTCTACAGCGCTACAGTCCTATATGTCACTATGTTACATTCCTACATGTACATGATTCTACAACGCTACAGTCCTACATGTTCCTATGATACATACCTACATGATTCTACAACGCTACAGTCCTACATGTTCCTATGATACATACCTACATGATTCTACAACGCTACAGTCCTACATGTTACTATGTTACATACCTACATGATTCTACAACGCTACAGTCCTACATGTTACTATGTTACATACCTACATGATTCCACAACGCTACAGTCCTATATGCCACTATGTTACATTCCTACATGGTTCTACAACGCTACAGTCCTACATGTTCCTATGATATATACCTACATGGTTCTACAACGCTACAGTCCTACATGTTCCTATGATACATACCTACTTGGTTCTACAACGCTACAGTCCTATATGTTCCTATGTTACATACCTACATGGTTCTACAACGCTACAGTCCTATATGTCACTATGTTACATACCTACATGGTTCCACAACGCTACAGTCCTACATGTTCCTATGTTACATACCTACATGATTCTACAACGCTACAGTCCTATATGTCACTATGTTACATTCCTACATGTACATGATTCTACAATGCTACAGTCCTATATGTTACTATGTTACATACCTACATGATTCTACAACGCAACAGTCCTATATGTCACTATGTTACATACCTACATGATTCTCCAACGCTACAGTGCTATATGTCACTATGATACATTCCTACATGTACATGATTCTACAACGCTACAGTCCTACATGTTACTATGTTACATACCTACATGATTCTACAACGCTACAGTCCTACATGTTACTATGTTACATACCTACATGATTCTACAACGCTACAGTCCTATATGTCACTATGTTACATTCCTACATGTACATGATTCTACAACGCTACAGTCCTACATGTTACTATGTTACATACCTAAATGATTCTACAACGCTGCAGATCTACATGTTACTATGTTACATACCTATATGATTCTACAACGCTACAGTTCTACAGGTTCCTATGATACATACCTACATAGTTCTACAACGCTACAGTCATATATGTCACTATGTTACATTCCTACATGTACATGATTCTACAACGCTACAGTCCTACATGTTACTATGTTACCTACCTACATGGTTCTACAACGCTACAGTCCTACATGTTACTATGTTACACACCTACATGGTTCCACAACGCTACAGTCCTACATATTCCTATTATGCTACAGTGCTCCATATTCCTATTATATTTCAATCCTACATGTTCCTATTATGCTAATCCTACATGCCAATATAACCTACAGTCATACTTGTGACTAATATGCTACAGTCATGCATGTCACTATACTGCTACAGTTCTACATATTACTAGAAGTCTGAGTTATGCCATAGTTATACTACAGTTTGCCATGCCTTTATAGTACTACAGTTTCACACTACTAAAGTGAATGAATTTCTCTCCCTGAAGGATTCTACAAGTCTCCATGCAACCACATCGCTGACTATATAGTATCCTGCATGCCTCTATAAGTTCTTCACGGCATTAGGATACCTTGGGTCATAGTCTCTGTGTAGAACTAGACGCACATACTGCTGCTGGTGGGTGTACACCCGTTTCAGGGGCTCCTTTTATATGTAAAAATATACATAAAATAGTCATATTATTTGTGTTAGCGGCATTATCAATGGTTATATCACACCAAAATGCTAAATAATATCGACATATTTTACAACAATATTTAAAGAAACTGAATCAGTAAGTCGTTTACCGATAATCGATGAAAGTTCAATTAAAATAAGTCATAGAGAGGAAAAGGAAAATCCAATAGAACTCACAGTTGTTATGTATGTGTTTGACCTGATGCACTCCGTGATGGCATGAAGGAACTTGAAGATAAGATACAAGAAGCACAGCACAACCGGGAGGTAGATGAGAACCGATATCGCTTGAGATACCTTTAAACGATGCCAGTTATTGAAAGATGTATCTGATATTCGTGATTAGTCATTTTGGATTTAGAGTGAGTTGGGGTTTAAAGGCAGCCATCGAGCATTCATTGGGGGCGCTGCATTATGCCAAAACGAGACTTAAAATAGTCGATGTTATTTAGAGATTTCTTCAATATAGTATGTAGTTATAACAACGAAATGAAAAGAGAAAAAGAGAATATTTATATCGCGTGTTCAGCCTTTGGATCTCGTTCGATTGTTAACTTTAACGTGTCTTTGAAACAACATATCGGTTCGCATGGCATATATACTTCACCTGGAAGGTAAAGGGATACATTGGATTTAGTTAAACCTTAAGGCACGCCTATGTAACTAATCTGAATAATATATACTTGGCACTTGGACCATCGTGATGTATTTGTATGACTCTTACCGTTACTGCTGGCACAATTTGGCAGTAGGCCTGTACGGCCTCAGCGGACGTACTGCCTAGGCTGCAATATTAAAAAATGTGCGTAAGCCATGCAGCATATGATGATGAGGATGATGATGATGATGAGGATGATGATGATGATGATGATCGAGTTTATATGCAGTATGTTAAAAAAGACCAGCAATGACCAGAGGAAGTCGGCTGGCCTCAAAAAGTTAAACAGAATGCTTTCTGTTTGCTGCTCAGGAACAGTCAATTCCCACTCGAAGACATCAATGTGTGATTTGTGCATCACAATGTAAATATGAAATGTAGATTATGCAATGAATATAATAAGACTGTCCAACACATTATCAGTGGATACAATAAATTGATAAATTGATAAATGCAAACAAATCATTTTGATGTAATTGAATTCTCTGTCCCTATTCCCACCTATGTGATTCACATGATTCAGGAATAACATGGCAAATATTACGACCTCGCTTACGAAATGTCTCGCTTGCATCCAAGGTACCATTGTTCTCGGTGCCTTAGGTTTGGTACCTCCCAATCTGTTGACTGACATATTCGAGTACCCGAGCTGGCTGCATGGAACACGGCCCTTCTAATACTCTTGGTAATGCAAAAGGCTGCGGTGTTGGGAAGTCTTCACATTTTCCGAACGGTTCGTGGTGGGTTCCACAAGGCAGCGTTTCCATCCATCCAACCATCCACGTATCAGATTTAAAATGCCAAGAGCTAGCGCTATAGAGCCACATTTGGTATTACTAATTTGCATTTATCCTTAAACAAGTTTCTACAACTTATAGTTAAAATTTATCAGGAGATCAGTATAAGCTGTTCAGGGGATAAATCTTGTGATTTCAGCACATCGACGGATGTTAACAACAGATAACTTACAGTATCGAACTATATGTGACACCGAGAACTGCCCCAGCCAGCTTGTGTCGTGTCGAAATACAGGCGAACAGTGGAAAACATGTGATGCAGGCCTCCAGAACTCGAAACTGCAGCACCAGTGCTGGAATAGAACAGATCAAGCTTTTACTGAACCACCGAAAAGTTCAATAGCATCATAACAATACAGATGACAAACGTACGTGGGATGTCAGATGAGGCAGGAACTAAAGTGACCATTGAGCCCCATTGCATTATGACTACATCTGTCATGACTACATCATTTAGGTGATTCCTGATGTCTTGATTTTGTCCCTCTTACAGTAATGGAATTGTGCCTCTTTTTGTCATGATAGTTTTCCTTTTGTTTTCATGTCATTGTGCTTCTCGTTGTTATGTCATTCTGCTTCTTCGTAACTATCATGGCATTGTGTTATTTACTGCTATGATATTATGTGAGACGGTAACTTGCTGTACAAAGTAGTAAATAAGTGATCCGTTTCCATATAATATCATAATGCAACTGTGCTTCTTGCTGTCATAACACTGCTAGCTCTCATCGCATTGCTTCTCGCCGTCATGTTATTGTGCGTCTTGTGTCAAATGACTGCTTCTTGTTGTCTCGCCTATGTGCTTGTGCTTATGCTTGTTATTTTGACAACTTATGATTTTTTACAGCTAATGTAAACTTTCTTTCGGGAAATGATGACAGATATGAGATGCCCGTAGAACCGCCACCATCTGGACTTCCCCGGATCCACCTGTGGTACATAAAGAAAATTATAGGGGAGACCCACCCGCAGCCCACAAAGGAACGTTGAAGGAGTCAGTTAACGTTGTATCCAACTTTGTGAACAATGTTGAGATGATGTTGATGACGGCTCCGAAGGCTGCAGCGTATGAGAAACGGTTGTCATAGCCATCTAGTAGAGGAAGAGGGCTGGAAAGGCAAGGTACCAATATAATAGACTGATGGTTCTCCTTTTAAAATTGAAACATACATGTAAGGTAAGCACTTCATCGCATAACTTGATACTACCCATGGGATGCCCCAGTTCCAGGCCCCAAACACCATTAATCCTTGTAAGGGCTGACTTGTATTTATCACATGATAAATGTATAATGAAGATGACATACTAGTATACGCAGAGCTGGACAGGTATTGATACTCACACAATCAATGCCGGCCTTCCTCCACACACTTCTGGGTGGAATCTTCGCTTCTCCAGAAGCGCTAGAATGAGGATCATACCAGCCTGGGAAGAAATGCCCCTTGTTACTTAAGACGAAATTGGCAGCCACTTTGTGTGAGTTCATTGGCGTATGAACCTTCATAGAGTCTCCGACATTTATACAGTTTGGCCCCCATTCTATTAAATTCAGACCCCAACGAACGCACGCAAACTGACTGCCAATTCGTATATCCTTATTTTGCTCCTCGATATAACAACCCACTGTGTCGCCGGGGAAAATAGTCCTTCAAACAAGAGATGACATGTGTGAATGTAGGCTCAAATTGCCATACAGTAATATATTTTGTAGTTTGGTTACAACAAATATATCTCAATATATGATCCTTTGGTGCGACATTCCCTCAGGGTGTCAGTGACAGTGGCATGCGTCGAGATTGCATTTGCTTAAAGTACAGTGTCAAATTGGTCGACACGATCAACGTGTCAAGGCTTCACACCCTTTCAAAGACAAGGTATAATAACATGTATCCCAAAAGATGACCGTGATAGATGAATTATGAAGGAATGACATAACCGATATAATAAACTCAAACAGGGTTTTTGAAAAACAGATTTATAGGTGATAATACTAGAATTTGTTGAATCATTGCTAAATGAATCAAATTCCGGGATTTGTCATTATAGTTGTCTTTGAAAAATATTAGTCACTGTCGAATGGGAATGTATTGATGAGCTGTTGAAGCATTTAATTTCGGCCTTTCCCTTAGAAAAGGGGTTTTAAATATAATTGATATCATTAATTCAATTCATGAACATACAACTTGCTGTTACATTACTGGTAAATCCTTTTTAGTGATAGCCCGAATAATCAGTTTTCAGATTATGATATCAATAATGTCTTCCTTTTTAATGCATTAACTGAGATAAGAATTTTGTTTATTGATAGCAGTTATTCGGTAACTACTATCAATGTTTTTTATTGAGTTAATTATATCATTAACTACCAAAATATGCTTCTTAGAATGATGTAATTAATTCGTTGATTGATATCATCAATAATTATTCATTTCAAGATATCATCCATTTTTTATCGATATCATTAACTCATTTCTTGATATCAATAAAAAAGTACTGATAACATTAAATGAATAATGATATCATCAAATGCATTACTGGTATAAGTAAATCGGTAAACCACTTTCCATACGGGGATGCTGTGGGTATCGATGAACTCACCGCAAGGAGGGTGATGTAATGGTTGAACGCCGATACATCAATGATGTCCGCACAGGCAGGGAGAGTTTGGTTGCTTATTATTGACGCCATCACTGTCGTGGAAGCTGAAATTATATTGTTTGTTTCTTAAATTATTGTCTGTGGTTGTTATTTAACGCAGTACTCAGCAATATTCCAGCTTCATGACGACGGTCTGTAAATAATCGAGTCTGGACCAACAATTCCAGCGATTGACATCATGACCATCGATCAACTCAATTGTGTCACTGAGTTTGACCACCCAAACCATTAAGTCGCCCATTCCGACAAGCAAAGGTTTTTTTGGGGCTGTACTCATACCCAGAATCCCCACGGATAGAAAATGGAAAAAGGCACAATAAATGTGATGCAAATACATCCTTGGTGTTGATGAAAACAAAGTGATGGGGTTTGTACAACATAAACACATCATGAGTGGAGACTAGGTTTACAAGATAAATTCACTCGGGGAAGATTACACTTAAAGCCTCTTATTTCATCGGTTTCCCCGTGAAAATAGATCCTCTGAATTTAGACATTTTGAATTAAAATAATTTTCATTAGAGATTGAGGGTGGGATATTGACAACCTGGTGCTTCCTTTGAGACAAGAATCCCCTGTAACACGTGGTCACCAGAAGGTGGTAAGGCGGTTGAGATATAGTAATTAGCATGTTGGAGTTTGTACGCGCACTTTAAATGATAATATTAAAAAATATATTTATATGAATGCTTCAAAATGAGACCTTTACATATCTTGTCCGAGTGGACGAATATATGAGTTCATTTTTCTGGATTGAAACACGACGATAAAGCGTCTTTCTATATTGATCATACCAGTGTCCGCTAACAGAATTGTAGTTGAATCGTGTCACACCCTTTACAACACACAGAGCAAAACTAACCACAGTGCATCACAACGGTACACAACACTACATAACAACGCAGCTCCTGTGAGCTTTGGGTGGACGTTATAGCAAATATAAGCCCTTGGTGCCACACGATGAAGCTGATATTTTCATGATTTCGCGATATCATATGTTCTGTACATACAGATATGTATGGAATATTTGTTAAAGAAAACATAATATTACAAAACATATTTGTTTAATGTAATCAGTCATTTCGCAATCTATCAGTATACCTTCTAACACATGCGTATGTGAGTTGTTTAGTCTTCAATGCCAGTAACAATTATGATATAGCTGAGTACGCTTATTTTTCACCTGCGCATTATATTAAAGGCATGTCTTTTGCCGGCGAATATCTGATTAGAATTAACAGCTGAACAATAAATGAAGGATGTAAGGAAATATAAGATTGAATCGATATCTGTAGTGAATGAATGTGTGAGTGGGTATTGTTTTACGCCGAATTTAGCAATATTCCAGCAATATCAAGGCGGGGGATACCAGAAATGGGCTTCACACATTGTACCCATGGGGGCAATCAAACCCGGGTCTTCGGCGTGACGAGCGAACACTTTAACCACTTGGCTACCCTCCGCCCCGATACATGTGGTACACTTTGAATGGATATTTAGTCACGTTCATGATACATGTAGTAAGAACCGGTATTTCCACCCGTGTTTGAGAATTGTCATCTCAGGATATTCTATATACCAACAAAATTGACACTGTAAGGAAATGTATAATAATCATTCAGATAAACTGTCGAGGCATGAGTTTTTTGTCTTCAGATTCTTTCCGAGACTGGTTTCATTGTGTGATAGTTGAGTGGAACTGCTCTCACACGTTTATCCAGAATGTGTGTTGCTATTTGACTTTATCTACTTAGCTCTTACACATGCATTTTCAACAACACTAGGCTTGTCATAAGAAAGGTAGGTTACAATCTGTGGTGGAAGTTTCGTAGCGATAGTTTCGTCACATGTCATGTTAAGTGAGTGAGTGAGTTTATACTTTACGTCACATCGGCAATTTATCTCTCAGCCATATCGTGACGAAGTCATGTTTAGAAATTTCATATGTAAATCATTCTAAAAATCGTCCCATAACTTGTGAGGCAAAGAATGGGCTTTACAAATTGCACGCATGTGGAGAAGGTCGTCAGTGTGTCAAATCAACATTTAACTCCACCACCCCATGACTAACATGAAGCCAGCACTTTAGAGTTACTTCCCTTGGATCAACCGAGGCCGTTTTCTATAAACCTAATCTTAGTAAGACTGTCGCCCTCGGAGGATGGGTATGTACACCAATACTTGTTACGAAAACAACCTCATAATAGAACACTCATATAACAACACATTATAACACAGAAACATCATTTTCAGACACGAGAAAGTCAATTCAGGATGAGTATAAACCATGTTTCTTACCTCACTGTCACTGTATTGTACTTATGTCCCGACGTATACACTAGACAACACTACAGATTACACCATGAAGTAAACATATGTCCAATAACATCCAGGTCCACAAAGCAATGTCACAACACTAACATACACAACCAATACGACCGGCTACAAACATCCGGCTCCAGCGTCTCTCGTGAACGAAGCGAAACATATGGCGACCGCTAGCTGTCACCCCCGTCTGACCTACTTTAACTGCGAGGTGATAAGACACCCTGTTACATAGTTTATCAGTATCATCGAAGGTGTAATTAAACTTGCGGTAACGTGACTGGATTTTAACGATCGAAAGTACAATGGATGGCTGACAGAATAACTTTCCGAACCGCCCTTGTAATTCTACACTCTCCGTAAACTGGTACATATATACGCGGAAACATAGACTAATATACATTGAATGCAGTTGTACACGTTAGTTGGTGTTGCTCTATAAAGTAAAAACTCATGTTCCGGGTTCTGCCGAACTACCTGATATAACTGTTATCCGCTTGTGCCCAAAAATATTATTTTCATAGGTGGTTTGGGTGATGGTTTACTGGTATCACAAACACCACATAATTTATTTGAGTAAAATATTCTCATTCAGTGGTGACATGCATATATTAACCCGCTTGTTGCCAGATAACAATGCCCTTTACATTCCAATCGCTTTCAGCTATCGTACATCATGCTGCTGGGGTGTACTCTCAATTCATCACATGGCTACGGTATATAGGTTTTCCTAAAAACTGATTAATATTAAATCTTCACTCCTTAAAATAAATGTACAATGTTTTCACTGTCGTTTAAACAGTTTGTATTTTGTATAACACCCGGCAATATTCCAGCTATATGACGGCGGTCTGTAAATAACCGAGTCTGGACCAGACAATCCAGGGACTGAAGTCACGAGCATCGATTTACACAACTGGGATACGAAGACATGCAACAACCAAGTCATCGAGCCTGACCACCCGACCCCGTTAGTCGCCTCATCAATCTTTATTTGCACTTGAAGCCTCAGGCCCATATACAAAGTATACAAAGTATACAAAAATACAAAATATACATCAAGGGTGATGGCGGTTTATCATATGTGTATATATATTCAATGATAACAGAGTGTTCAGTAATTAATGATAACATTCTCTCCTTAAAGTGAAGCTTTACAAAAGTTTAACAAGTATACTACTATAGCTGGATCATAATCATTCATTAAATTAACAAAACATTTGAATGTGCATTTGCTTAAATATTTCTTTGGTACAAAATGTTTCTCAAATCATTAAAACATGGACATTGCATTAGCATGTGGCATTCATCCTCTAACTCATTTAAATTACAATTCTGACAAATTTTGTTACATTTTTCAAATTATAACAAGCATGGTTTGCCGAAGGCCATTTCTAATCGGGTCTCCGGTTGTCACTGTCAATTGAGGGTACATTATGCTGCACATATGTACATACTTGCACTTGTGTGTTAATACGATGAAGCCATTGAGTATTGTTTTACGGATGTAATTGTATTTGGGGACACGGCTGTACAAGCCGTATTTCGATGGCGCGTTTCTTTGGCATGCTAGAACCATGATCGAGGGTTCGAGTCCCAGATATTAAGCCATGCTTGTATTACTCGTGTCACGATCCGATAATCGTGGGTTCGAATCCCTGATGATTCCTGATTAATAAGAACAATTGCTTGCCAGCACCACACAGTGCTCGTTGGTTTCGACAAAGTGGTAAGCGTCTAAAATAAGCATCACATCTGCAATTTCTCCCACATGGAAGAAGCCATCGTATTATTGAAACAGGGTTAAAAGCACTGTCAATCACTCACTCAGACATCCAGCAATTCACTCACTCACATACACTCACTCTTGAAATGATATGCTGCAAAAGAGAATATGCTGCAAAAGGAGTATTTTGTACAAATCACATTTATCATGGAGCATGGCAAGAAATCAGATAAGGGAGTAGTACAAATGTTCGATGTCGGATCAAAAAACCTCACACATGTAGTTTGGAACAACAACCCTTAAGCCTAATTGCGAAATTGTTGACATCCTCAAAAATCTCAGAATAACAGTACCACCGATATTAAAACAAAACACAGAAATTCTGGAGTCACACCACTATCAACACACCATGCACGGATGGATATAGAACTGGTATGTTTTCATCTGTACTTTATATTGTTATATCTGCGATAGTGATGATGATTATGTTTATTATAATATTGTGACGATTAAAGCTGTACAAAGGTTAATTATGGCCTTCCACCAATAACATGGAGTTGAAAGGAAGAAAAGCTGGCAGACCAACTGACACCCTAAATTTCAGAATTTTTTTTTTTTATCCGAGACCGAACTTTTCAACTGCTCGCTTAATACATCGATCAGTGTTGAGATTACTGGAGTTGTGTCCGAGTCTTGCGTGTCATATTAGATGCCCTTCACGTTATTGTCAAAATGGACAGAAATGTTTGGCGATATCCTTTATTACGTTTTGAATGCAAACTTATCGGTGTTAAAGTAATCAATATTAACAAAATTTGATAGTGAAGATACGGGTATAACAGAACATATTGAAAAATGGGTTAACATACATGAAGAAAGTGTATCAACTTTAATAATATGCTGTCATGGTTGTACTTAATGTCAAGGTTTATTATGTTGACTTGCTTATAAGAATATATATCAAGAAGATAAGAGAATATTTAATAATTACATATCAGATTGAGAGACAAAATGAATTAATATACTTTGAAATCATGTAACAAGAGAGGCACTGGATGTATTGACAACTCGACAGTGAAAATTCAGACTACCAGTACATGTGGTCAGTAAGTATTGGGTAAGAAGAAGCTGATTAATAACCACCAATCTCCTTAAAATCAGATTTTTTAATCCGAAACGATATACCACTCTGCGTAAAGATCTGAGGTGACAGTGTACCCCCAATAATGACGTCGCGTGAGGTGAACTTTCTGATCAGTGAATCAGCGTCGAGGCGTCTAAATTATCGGTACTAGTGCGCGAACCATTCAGATCAACATATCTGATTTCCGTCTCACGAAAAAGCGCTAAAACGACATTTCCAGAACGTACATAATGAAAGCTGCACCATTAGATTTTTGTGGAAAATTTAAACTACCTGTTGTTTCTTACCTCCGCGGTAGCTACAACAAAAACCAAGTACCTTCGAGGGCATATTTATGTCCTGAGTGGATTTTCTTTTGTTCAAATCGAAATTTCCGAATCGAGAAAGCTGACATTTGTTTGGCTTAAAATCCTATTCATCCTGGTTCACCGAACGCGACCTTCTATGGAGTTGTCCTTAAGGTAAGTATTGTTTCGGATTAAAATATCAGAGCCCCGTTACCCAAAGCGATCTGAGCGCTAAGCTTATCGTAATGTATAACCCCTATACGTTTACATGGGCTTTGTCGTAGCCCAAAGATCGCTTTGTGGAACTATCGTAAACCTATATTAGAGTATGGGAGTTACGATCACCTTAGCGCTAAGATAGCTTTGTGGAACGGGGCCCTGCAGCTGGACCCTGATCTTTATTGGATTGACTCACTACAGGTATACAGTTCATCCCTTTAAATCGGACTCTCCTATATTCGTATGATTACTTTTAAGGAACGTCTCCATATATACAATGTGTCACTACATCGTAAGTATGATTCGATACTACGGACATTTGTTAAGCCAGACGAATTCACAAGTTACGGCGTTGTTCGGATTAACGAGGTCATTGGTCTTTTCCCATGGTGTCACGTGATCATTGAATAATACAGGTGTAACGTTTTGAATTATTAAATGTGGTTCATCAATTTATCATTGATGAGAAGTCATGTATCTCAACCATTACACTTTCAATTGCTTCTTGAGGTTTGTGTCCACCATTGGATGCAAAAGTCTTCCTCTGTCTCCTCAAACCTGGGTTCCTGAGCAATGTGTAGGCAAGTTTCCACTTTCGAACGTATCGCGTATTTTTCAAAACTGAAAGTAAATATTATCTCACATTACAGGTCTAGTTAGTAAATTACATAAATGATATTCATCGTAAGAAATCATGATAACTTCATGTAAATATAAGTTTTCCAGGTCGCTATACATTCATTTGCAAACTGGCAAAGGTAGCACTTTCCTTGATGGGAGAATAAAGAATACAGATAACAAAAAAGGACACATTGATACACTTAGGTAACCAGTTTCAAAATGAGCCAAGCAATTTCTTACAGGATTAAAATGGTACTTTGACAAAGGCCAAATCTACAGTGACAAAACAAAGTTGAACTGATTAAGGTATAACCTTGTGGTTATCTGGAGCTTGCAAGGGGAATTTGGTATGACAATCAACTCCGCATATAACGAACTGTAAGGAATCCTCGTGATCATTTCGTTGAATTCGAAGATCGGTTTAATGACGTTTTGAACTGTGATTTTACAGTATTTCAGTAACATCACGGCTTGGTACTGCGGTCAGAACGCCTAACGTGAACCGGGTCTTTGACATTTACCACTTTTGATGACACCCTAGAGCAAGGGTATGGTGCCAACGAGAAAGGATCATAACTACTCACGGAGAATCTGGGATTCGAACTCGAGATAATCGGATAGTGGCACAAGTAACACAAGCAACTGTTCATTTTGAAACATGATGACACGAAATACGAGATAGGACAAAAGCCCTGCTTGACTCACTGCAGCTGGCAATGGCAATTTGTTAAGAATATCATACATGATCAGGTATCTGGCAATTTGTATTTTTCTTTCTTACATTTGCATGGTTTGGACTTTTGACATGACCAATGTCTAAAATGAGTGAAATAAGACGATTTGGCAAACTCCAAGAGAATATCTCAGCATGAGTCAATCCGTGACCACGATACTTTTTGTTAACCATGTGATTGTACACCTGCGGAGATAATTAGATTGGGTCACAAGATTGGCTCAAATACTAAAAAAACCCGTTTCTTGGAAACCTCCAAAACCGGCCTTTTTGACATATTTTAATCTTAGCAATGCATTTAGTGTTGTCCCAAACGTGCGGTTTTTGAAAGGAACAAAGGCTTATTCTCATTCATATAAACATATCTGATAACTTTCATAATTATTTGTAAAGGATTTCCTCCTTTCTTAAATAATGCATTCAAAATTATCCCGTGGGCTAAAAAGGGCCCCTGTCCTACCTCGTCCTTTGAGATAAATTCCGTCCTACTGCGCAACAGACATTACCCTAGCGTTATAGATAACACACTGTTGGCAGGTGCGCTATTCAATGGATCAATATTTAGACCAGATGACCTGGAATCTAGCTACATGTATTTACATGTGAATATTTACCTTTTCAACATACACAATTCTGTCACATGTAAAACGTTTATGTTAGACCCACTAACGTCTGTGGGGGAAGCAGGATACACAGTCGTCTGAGGCACCTCAACTCGGTGTACAGAATAGCTTGCCTTGGAACGCCAGAAACCTATGATAGTGGGTTCGAATCCCGATTCGCCCCGATTGTTTCTAAATTTGCCAGCACCATACCAGTCCTCTTTGGTTTCACCAACATGGTAAACCTCTTAAATCTGCCTAGCTTCGGACTTTCTTCCCACATTAATCTGACACGCCGTGATATAACTGGAATACTGTTCGAAGCAGCGTTAAACCAAACTCACTAATACTCTCTATACTTATGTAGTATACAGAAAGTAACCTGAAATCTGCCGTTGGGATTTTCTACCCGAAGTGCCGCTGATCAGGTGTTCATCTTCGGATGGCTCAACATCAGGAAATGTCCTGTACAGGCGCACGGGTGTCCCAAATAATGTTCTTTGGCTGTCATGTCTCTTCTGTAACGTTTCGTCCCAGAGGACACCACAGAAGACCCGGACAACAGGGTGGTTATGACTGTTTTCAACGTGTAGCATACTGATGTAGGATAAGTGACCTGAAGGATGAATGCAGATTGAAGATGTCATGATGAACAAGAGATTGCGATAAACTTAACGAGCGTAGATCATGCAGCCTTCTGCCAAATGGGCTGAAGTGAAAGGGGGTTTAACGTTCCGTTAAGGAGTTGTGCACGTATATAGCGAGGTACACGCACCGTAATTTGTTTGTGGTTGTGTGTGTGTGGCTGCTTGTACTTGTCCGGACTTTGCCGATTTTATAGTGCTCGCCCACTGAGATACCATGCCACTGCTTACTGACTCCGCGCCGGCCAGCCCTTGTTTTTTATCCCCTTATATATCGATCGCCATACAGGGTAAAAACATGTACCATCATTTAACGACGCCTTTTTGTATGACACGACCTGAGATCGAACCACCGATCTTTCCCTCTATCAACTAGAACTGTGGATGTGCGATGTGTGTAACCGAGATCATGTCATAATACTAGATACATCACGAACTTTGATTTGGCAAATAATAATAAAGACGTGGCATTTATATATTTAAATAAATTCCAAACTGCTTGCATAATAAATTGTCACAAATATCTAACAAATATCTTTCACCAGACATGATGGATGATCTAAACATGATGTGTTGTGGGTCGAAAGATGTTGTGTGGAGCCATCTAGACCTTGGTATTCAGTACAAGTAGTCCAACAGTCGAACATGCAACCGGATTACTGTTTACGTACAAATGTATACATATATCTGTTTGCCTGCACCTCTATCATGCCTTTCCATGTTCCTCATGAAGGTGGTTTTGTCCAGTCTACCAACCATCACGCCGCCCATGACTGTCCCAATTAGAATTCGAAGGAAGCAGGAGAATATACCAATGGTCAGGCTCCCGAACAGGGAGAAAAAGTTGAATCCCTCGTAAAATCTCCTACAACACAACATGAACCTGATCACCACCATTGCAGTCCTTTGTGGTAATCAGCAAAAATAGTTGATGAGAAATAATGCAATTCAGCGAGGGATGCATTCGCCACGCTTTCGTTAGGAAATAAGATACCCCTTTGCGAAGCGTTGGGAATTCACTGTGCACACGTAACTATAGCGTTACCAAGTGAGTCGAGGTTCAATGGTGTAGAAAGTGGTGTATTATGTGTTAAATTAACTTATTTACATCTTTAAACATGTAGGCAAGTCAAAGTAACTACAAATGCCATTAAATAAACATTATACCACAGTGACTGTTAGGACACTTTGTTTGAACTCCTGAAAAACATGTATTTGATGTCGTAATAAAAAATGGAATTTTTCTTTTTTACAATTATTCTTTGGAGTCACCGTCACGATCTTTGAACAGTTTGAATAACAGGTTAACAATAAATTAAAAGTATTATTTGCCCTACCTGTTATCTACATTGAGCGGTGGATCCTCGTCAGTCGGGCGTATTTTGTCCTGAAGCAGAACGTATCTCGCCATCACTACCTGGAGATAGAAGAGGATGAGTGCCGTGGCAGGAAAGCTGGGAAGAGAAACAAGACGCTGAGAATATATTTATTACACTGTGTTCCTTGAGGAGAACGCATGGAACAAAAGGCCCCAGTACAATTACAACATACACACCTTTCGTTATGATGAGGTTAGGTGAATTGTGGCTTAATCGTTTAAGATTATTGCACTTATTTGGCGACGTGCATGTGTGTGTGTGTGTGTGTGTGTGTGTGTGTGTGTGTGTGTGTGGTTGTACTAATCCGACGTTTGCTGATTCACATTCTTCTCTAAAGTTGGTTGGCTGGTTTGTTGTTTAACGCCGCACTCAGCAATATTCCAGGTATATGACGGCGGTCTGTAAATAGTCGAGTCTGGACCAGACAATCCAGTGATTAATATCATAAGCATCGTTCCACGCATTTGGGATCGATGACATGTATCAACCAAGTCAGCGAGCCTGACCACCCGATCCCGTTAGTCTCCTTTTACGACAAGCATAGTTGCCTTTTACGGCAAGTATGGGTTGCTAAGACCTATTCTACCCCGGAATCTTCACGGGTCCTTTTCTGAAGGGGGACGAGGATGGAGCAAATAATCAGTTCCAGAAAGTTGGATTCAAGTCAATGTGTCACTGCCTTGTCTGTCTACGACTTCAAGTCTTTCAGTTATCATAATAAGTCGAAGCAATGTCTTAATCAAGTTCACAATTAAATCTCATCGTGGAGCATACTCTCCCCTTAACGTCAGGTCACTCGTCATTCATATTATAAGTAAAAGCGACAAAACCCTTTCCATGTACAAAATATCTTCCCCCAAAGTCGACTCAACGATTCTGACTAATAGTATATTATGAGAATGTGTCTATGAATCACTATCAAATAGTGATGATACCAGGTATTCGCGAAAATGTGAGCGTATCTTTCCCCGCCGGTTACATCCGTGTCAAATACGAGCAAAGACAACCCAACAACAACATGGGCATATACGGTACAGGTAAGAAACAGTCCCAACAAATGTTTCTAAAATATTTTTTTTCAAAAGTCAACTTCCAAATTGATATGGCAGAATATTCGGCAGCACCAATGACGTAAGCTATGGTGACGAATGAATGCATGGTATTTTCACAAAATATAAAAGAAAGATAATACACTGGATAATGAAGGTACCTTAATAGACACGATAGTTTGGCGAAAAGGGCATGTGGAGCAAGCATTATCTACCTCAAAACCTGTGCTACGTATGTGAGGAAGGTCACCAGGTAGCCGTTGGCGTCCATCAAGAACAGCGCATAGTAGACTACAAGAGACAACCCCAGCAGAAAGAAGAAGGCAATCACGGTACCTGTGGCATAAAAATACGTTTAGTGGGTAGGGTTATGGAAGCTATAAAGCCAATACACACAATCCGATATATACAATGAATGAATATTGTTTTACGCCGCATCAGCAATTTTCCAGCTATTCACGGCGACCGATATATAGGTCACCTAGCAGAAACAACGTTTTAATTAGAATTATACATATGTCATTTCTTGTGTTCAGAAACATGGCTACAAATCCCTTTGCACTATTTAATAAATGTGCGGTTCCCTCAGGTATTGTATTCATACACGGATTCTAAAGCTTAAACATTGTACTCTCGTGTTTGTCTTTTTAGTTAATATATCATTTGGTTGATAACTAATAGTATGCCACTAAAAGCTCACATAATACAATGTTATACCTTAAACATTCTGATAACGATACGGACATAACCATACAGTTACAAATAAGCGGTTTGTCACGGTAAACGAAACACTGATGTAAGACACTATTGTTGACTTTACACAGACATTACGCTTGACGTGGTATTTTGTGACGTCACAATAAATGATGACGTCACAGCGTTCGAGAAGGTTCCCTCTTCAAAAGGTTTGTTCGTTTTTGAAAGATACAGCTTAGAGTGATTATTACAATCATAGTTGTAGCAGATTCAGTTTCAAAAACGTGTGACTGAAAAGCTGAAGCAGGACTTACCCCATACACTGTAGGCAATGAGATAGCCGAGGAATCGCAGATTGCTGGCCTGAAGGTGAATGCAATAATTGGCGAACTATTTTATGTGTCAATTTTACAATACCGTTATTGTTTAAATTGCATATTTTGTGTTCAGTTCGACTGATATTATGTGGCAGTTTAACTCCTCACTCATTACGCAGTGGCTCCTTACCATGATATATTGTGCACGTTGGTCAATCTGGCAGATGAAGGATTGATCTCCTTGGTGCAACCTCAAAATGTTTTTCCTTCAGATTTGGAAATGAAAAAGAGATTGAAGCAAATTGGAGGGTTGGCAGTTTAGGTATGACGTGATCAGTTCCTTATGTCAGTAGAATAAAATGTCATAAATCTCAGACAGTATCGTAAACATTGAAACAAATAAACGGCACACTCTTATGAATGAGTTTAAGGACGAACCGATGATGATATGTCATATACCCCGACTTTCTTTTCATAAGCTTATTTTGCAAAAGAGAGTAAATCGCTTGAGTACGTATGACGAAACCTAAAAGAAATGAATGAGCGATCTAGGTTTAACGCCACTTTTAGCAATTTAAGGAATTTCACCAACGAAATGTGTTTCACACATGGTGGAGAATCGAACCTTGGCCTTCGGCATGACGAGCGAACGATTTAACAACTGGGCTACCCAACGCCCTTTTTCCGTTATAGTAATTGAATTTCACTGAAATGAGTATTGGGTTTTCAAAGTTTGGACTGGATGAGGACGGTGCTATGAGTGTTTGTCGTTATAGGTTACATGTTATATGTTCCTCGTACTGTTGCGCCAAGCTTCATATCTTTAATCCCAATACTGCTGCCTGAATCAACGCTCGGGAACTATCGAGTTGCCTGCCTTAGCCACACAGAGATACGCTGTCTATGGGTTTGTATTTCACATTTGCACTCATTATGAACTTTGGAATGTCACTACCATTTCCGCGCGCGTGGGTTTCACTGTTCGTGTCTTCCACTACTGCGTCAATTTTGGCTTTACTCCATCATTGAGGTGAGGTAGAGACATTACTTTAAATGTAACATACTATGTTCACAGTGGCGTACAGGTCTCAAACACAGATCTAGAAAAACATCACCGGTTTGGAATGAACAGATGTAATACACGAAATGATCTCCTGCCCGTTTCAATTTTATGTTGAAGATAGAACTGAAACATGAATGAGAACAATTCGTAACGTGTTGTTATTTCATTAATATATAAAACGTACCCCCTCCCCTCTCTCTCTCTCTCGCTCTCTCTCTCTTTCTCTCTCTCTCTCTCTCTCTCTCTCTCTCTCTCTCTCTATATATATATATATATATATATATATGAATAATGAATAATGAATTTATTTCACGATGAATTTTCTATTTATAACATATTAAATTCTGAAACGGAATTATGTAGTGAAGCGGTCATAAAATATACGGGATTCGTTTGGAAAATGGACACCAATCTCTCTGTCCATGTGCGAACAAAACAAAACGACACACTTACTCCTGGTGTGAGTAACCTCCCGTTGGGATTCCGGGTCAATTAGGTCCTGAGCAACATGTGCTTGTCGTATGAGGCGACTAAAGGGTGTCAGGCACGATCACTTGGTCGATTGCTGTCAACCTACCTCCACTGCGTGGTACGTTTCTCATAATCACTGGTTTGTCTGGTCTATGCCCTGTGTCACAAAGCGCTATGAGATCAAAGATGACCGTAACTCCTTTTCCATAGCATTAACAGTCGTTGAGCTAACAACGATTGGTTGTCTTGTCCAGGGCTCCGGTTTACAAAGCGGTCTCAGCGCTACGAGAGTCACAGTCCTAACCCCGTTTGTCGAACGGGGCCCGGATTCGATCATTTACAGTGCGGCAATATATAAGAAACAAACTAATAAATAATGAATACTTCATAGTTACAAAAAAGACATAAGGGTACCTGTATATCTTCAAGAAGAAGTATATGTGAATAAACGCTGCAGCATTGGCTACAAACGCCACTGCGTAATACGTTCCTGCAAGAATAAATACAACAAATCAATTTTAAAAAGAGCATCATATTCATATGGTCTAAGAGCATTAAGTTTATTAAAAGTACTCCAAAGGTAAAAGATTTCATAAAATGGATGATGACGTCATAGCTATCATTTCTGACGTCATGTTGATATTGAAAGCCTCGCGACATGATATCAGTAGAAAATATATATCATTTTCTTCACTGCAGCTAAACCCACCAAGCGTCTGAACCCACCAAGCGTTCGAGGTGGACTTATTGACTTTTTAAATGCGCTACTATTCACACAACAGAGATATTGTTGATAAGTCATCTGCATTTTTCGTTATCTACAGAATCGAAATATACAGGGTTTGTATCAAATATGTGTTCTCTTTTATATGCAAATGGCGTACAAAGCGGTAAGGTAAAGGTTGTGTCTCGGTGCAAATATAGCCCTATCTTCAACATTTTCTCAACACACAGAGAGAGCACACCAGCTGATCTTTAAACGCAATAAAATATGTGGTTGGCTGCAATCAAGTACCGATATCTATCATTCAAATGTAAAAGGTAAAACATAACCTACTTTATCTTAATGGGTACGGTAGATATCACATTGTACTTCATCGTTTACATCCATTCAAAAATGGATACATCTGAGTGTAACCGGAACTTAAGCATTTAAGCTTGAATCAAACTACCACGTGCTTATAACGACTTAGATGAATTGACACAATAACTGGGACCACAGTTCTACTGTTTAATATTACATGAAATATCATCACCCGATACGGATTCAACATATGAATATGCAAAATATTGTCCTTATTGTATGGAGACTCGATTCCCGACATGGGTTCCTTGTGTAGTGCCCTGGAAATTCTGGTGTTCCATGTCCGTGACATGGCAGGGATATTGTTAATAGCCCACCCATTCATAGTTTTGGCATTGGACATAGAGTACTAACTGGTTTGCCTAAAGGTAAGATATGGTGTTTTTCAGCACAGTGCTCTTGGGTTAATTTTCATGTTTTTTTGTTGTTTAACACCGTATTCAGCAATATTCCAGCTATATGACGGCGGTCTGTAAGTAATCGAGTCTGGACCAGACAAACACATTTTGACAACATGAGCTTTGATCCTCACAATTGGGATCGATGACATGCATCTACCAAGTCAGTGAGTCTGACCACCCAATCCCGTTAGTCGCCTTTTACGACAAGCATTGTATTCTACCCCGGATCTTCCTGTCGACAAGCGGACCTCAGTTCAAAATATTCACACTCTGTAATATCTCAATGTGTTTTATATGGGGTCTTGGTGCAAATCAAAGCGTGGTGACTGTTGTTGGTACCATTGCGGGAGCAGTGGGGTAGACTAGTGGTTAAAACGTTCGCTCACCACGCCGAATGACCCGGTTCGATTATTCATGTGGATACAATGTGTGAAACCAATGTCTGGAGTGCCCTGCTCCCGATATTGATGGAATATTGCTAATTGCGGCGTAAAATCATACTCACTGACTCACTCACTAGTACCAGTACTTGTTATTTAAGGTGTGTTACCTATCATACCGTCGACGGCCTGTGGTGTGAGGAAGATGATTGTATGGTTGAATACTGGTAGCTGGATGTTCTCATCCAAGTTCTTGAGCTCTTGCGCTGACATGACGAACCCTATCTCTGCTACAGCAAGCTGAAAGGGTAAAAGAGTTTTCCTGTTTTCTCAATTAAACGTTTATCATTTTAATTTTTATTACCTTTCAAGAAATATCTTTTTCTTCATTGAAGCATATTTCATGTTGTCTGACAAATCAGTAATTCCTGTGTGAAAACCGGTGGTCGTATCTATATAATACAAATGTCTACACTAAGTACACGTTAACATGTCAGGCACTACAAGTAGAACCCGAGTGATACCTATGTCTACACTAGGTACATGTTAGCATGTCCTGCCTTCATGTAGTACCCGAGTGATACCAATGTCTACACTAGGTACATGTAAGCATGTCCTGCCTTCATGTAGTACCCGAGTGATACCAATGTCTACACTAGGTACATGTAAGCATGTCCTGCCTTCATGTAGTACCCGAGTGATACCAATGTCTACACTAGGTACATGTAAGCATGTCCTGCCTTCATGTAGTACCCGAGTGATACCAATGTCTACACTAGGTACATGTAAGCATGTCCTGCCTTCATGTAGTAACCGTGTTATAACAATGTCTACACTAGGTACATGTAAGCATGTCCTGAATTCATGTAGTACCCGAGTGATATCAATGTCTACACTAGGTACATGTAAGCATGTCCTGCCTTCATGTAGTACCCGAGTGATACCAATGTTTACACTAGGTACATGTAAGCATGTCCTGCCTTCATGTAGTACCCGAGTGATAGCAATGTTTACACTAGGTACATGTAAGCATGTCCTGCCTTACAGGTAGTATCCGAGTGATATCAATGTCTACACTAGGTACATGTAAGCATGTCCTGCCTTACAGGTAGTACCCGAGTGATACCAATGTCTACACTAGGTACATGTAAGTATGTCCTGCCTTAAAGGTAGTACCCGAGTGACACCAATATCTACACTAGGTACATGTAAGCATGTCCTGCATTCATGCAGTACCCGAGTGATACCAATGTCTACACTAGGTACATGTAAGCATGTCCTGCCTTCATGTAGTACCCGAATGATAACAATGTCTACACTAGGTACATGTAAGCATGTCCTGCCTTCATGTAGTACCCGAGTGAAATCAATGTCTACACTAGGTACATGTAAGCATGTCCTGCCTTCGTGTAGTACCCGAGTGATACCAATGTCTACACTAGGTACATGTAAGCATGTCTTGCCTTACAAGTAGCACCCGAGTGATACCAATGTCTACATTAGATATATGTAAGCATGTCCTGCCTTACAGGTAGTACCCGAGTGATGCCAATGTTAACACTAGGTACATGTAAGCATGTCCTGCCTTCATGTAGTACCCGAGTGATACCAATGTCTACACTAGGTACAGGTAAGCATGTCCTGCCTTCATGTAAGACCCGAGTGATACCAATGTCTATACTATAGGTACATGTAAGCATGTCCTGCCTTCATGTAGTACCCGAGTGATATCAATGTCTACACTAGGTACATGTAAACATGTCCTGCCTTCATGTAGTACCCGAATGATAACAATGTCTACACTAGGTACGTGTAAGCATGTCCTGCCTTACAGGTAGTACCCGAGTGATATCAATGTCTACACTAGGTACATGTAAGCATGTCCTGCCTTCGTGTAGTACCCGAGTGATACCAATGTCTACACTAGGTACATGTAAGCATGTCTTGCCTTCCTGTAGTACCCGAGTGATACCAATGTCTACACTAGGTACATGTAAGCATGTCCTGCCTTACAGGTAGTACCCGAGTGATGTCACTGTCTACGCTAGGTACATGTAAGCATGTCCTGCCTTACAGGTAGTACCCGAGTGATGTCAATGTCTACGCTAGGTACATGTAAGCATGTCTTGCCTTACAGGTAGTACCCGAGTGATACCAATGTCTACACTAGGTACATGTAAGTATATCCTGCCTTACAGGTAGTACCCGAGTGATGCCAATGTCTACACTAGGTACATGTTAGCATGTCCTGCCTTACAGGTAGTACCCGAGTGATAACAATGTTTACACTAGGTACATGTAAGCATGTCCTGCCTTACAGGTAGTACACGAGTGATACCAATGTCTACACTAGGTACATGTAAGCATGTCCTGCCTTACACTTAGTACCCGAGTGATACCAATGTCTACACTAGGTATATGTAAGCATGTCCTGCCTTTATGTTGTACCCGAGTGATACCAATGTCCACACTAGGTACATGTAAGCATGTCCTGCCTTCATGTAGTACCTGAGTGATACCAATGTCTACACTAGGTACATGTAAGCATATCCTGCCTTCATGTAGTACCCGAGTGATACCAATGTTTACACTAGTTACATGTAAGCATGTCCTGCCTTACAGGTAGTACCCGAGTGATACCAATGTCTACACTAGGTACATGTAAGCATTACCTGCATTCATGTAGTACCCGAGTGATACCAATGTCTACACTAGGTACATGTAAGCATGTCCTGCCTTACAGGTAGTACCCGAGTAATATCAATGTCTACACTAGGTACATGTAAGCATGTCCTGCCTTCATGTAGTACCCGAGTGATACCAATGTCTACACTAGGTACATGTAAGCATGTCTTGCCTTACAGGTAGTACCCGAGTGATACCAATGTCTACACTAGGTACATGTAAGCATGTCCTGCCTTCATGTAGTACCCGAGTGATAACAATGTTTACACTAGGTACATGTAAGCATGTCCTGCCTTACAGGTAGTACCCGAGTGATACCAATGTCTACACTAGGTACATGTACGCATGTCCTGCCTTACAGGTAGTACTCGAGTGATATCAATGTCTACACTAGGTACATGTAAGCATGTCTTGCCTTACAGGTAGTACCCGTGTGATAACAATGTTTACACTAGGTACATGTAAGCATTACTTGCATTCATGTAGTACCCGAGTGATACCAATGTCTACACTAGGTACATGTAAGCATGTCCTGCCTTACAGGTAGTACCCGAGTAATATCAATGTCTACACTAGGTACATGTAAGCATGGCCTGCCTTCATGTAGTACCCGAGTGATACCAATGTCTACACTAGGTACATGTAAGCATGTCTTGCCTTACAGGTAGTACCCGAGTGATACCAATGTCTACACTAGGTACATATAAGCATGTCCTGCCTTCATGTAGTACCCGAGTGATAACAATGTTTACACTAGGTACATGTAAGCATGTCCTGCCTTACAGGTAGTACCCGAGTGATACCAATGTCTACACTAGGTACATGTACGCATGTCCTGCCTTACAGGTAGTACTCGAGTGATATCAATGTTTACACTAGGTACATGTAAGCATGTCCTGCCTTACAGGTAGTACCCGTGTGATAACAATGTTTACACTAGGTACATGTAAGCATGTCCTGCCTTACAGGTAGTACCCAAGTGATACCAATGTCTACACTAGGTACATGTAAGCATGTCCTGCCTTACAGGTAGTACCCGAGTGATACCAATGTCTACACTAGGTAGATGTACGCATGCCTTGCCTTCATGTAGTACCCGAGTGATACCAATGTCTACACTAGGTACATGTAAGCATGTTCTGCCTTACAGGTAGTACCCGAGTGATGCCAATGTGTACACTAGGTACATGTAAGCATGTCCTGCCTTACAGGTAGTACCCGAGTTATACCAATGTCTACACTAGGTACATGTAAGCATGTCTTGCCTTACAGGTAGTACCCGAGTGATACCAATGTCCACACTAGGTACATGTAAGCATATACCTCCTTCATGTAGTACCCGTGTGATAACAATGTCTACACTAGGTACATGTAAGCATGTCCTGCCTTACAGGTAGTACCCGAGTGATATCAATGTCTACACTAGGTACATGTAAGCATGTCCTGCCTTCATGTAGTACCCGAGTGATACCAATGTCTACACTAGGTACATGTAAGCATGTCCTGCCTTACAGGTAGTACCCGAGTGATACCAATGTCTACACTAGGTACATGTAAGCATGTCCTGCCTTCATGTAGTACCCGAGTGATACCAATGTTTACACTAGGTACATGTTAGCATGTCCTGCCTTCATGTAGTACCCGAGTGATACCAATGTTTACACTAGGTATATGTTAGCATGTTTTGACTTACAGGTAGTACCCGAGTGATACCAATGTCCACACTAGGTACATGTAAGCATATACTTCCTTCATGTAGAACCAGTGTGATAACAATGTCTACACTAGGTACATGTAAGCATCTTCTGCACTACAGGGAGTACCTGTGTGATAGCAATGTCTAGACAAGTGTAAGCATGTCCTACCCTAAAGCTGGTACACGTATAACATACGAACACATTTGCCGTTCTAACATGTCTTCTGAAGGGGAATACCATAAACATTCACATCCTTCAAATCACATTGCACCTTCCAGCTAATACGAACCTGATAGAGAATAACAGTAATGATGAAGACAGCACAGACTATCTTCACAGGATACTTGAAGCCCTGGATGGATCTGTAGCAAACCTTTTGTCTGAACGTTTCTTCTTTCCTGTAAAGTAAATAACTACTCTTATTCTACACAAATATAACAAAGATTTGTCTCGGCATTGTGTTAGTATTCAGTAGATGTTACCATCATTTATACACTCACTTAACCGCCTACCCACTCACTCATTCACTCACTTACTCTACAATACTTACGTTAAAACTGCATCGTAGTAACCGCTCAGTAATAGCCGTACATGGATGATTTGATGTGGATGCACCGTGTCTGTATCCTCCTGTCGTTAAAAGTTGAAGCGTGAGTTATTTTATCCAATATTGTGGTGAATAAATGATCACAGCACAAACAGTTGTTGATGTTAAATTACATACTGTACCAGAACAATCTAAATCTGAGTCCGCAGAAATCAGTTTTGCCGTATGTTGACGGACACTGGAAAGTTATTCCGGTTGTCGGATCATACTTGCAAATACTTCCAAATGTGACATTGTTACAAAACTGATGTCCAATGCAATTCCCTATCTTCACATGTACTGTATGTTCCCTTGTGTTTTTCAGGTGAACAGTTGACTTGCTTTGCATGTGTTTGTGACGAGTGCCACCCGTGGGGCAGGATAGGCTCACCTTTTCGCGGACACTTGGTTTTATCACTATTTGATAATGATTCATAAACACATGCTCATGACATAGTCAGAATCGTACAGTGACCTCTGCTTTAAGAAGAGATTTATTATGATTATGGAAATGTTTTTATAGCTTTTTATTATCGCAGTGCCTCTCTAACTTATTTTTTTAAGTATTTTCATATTTCAATATTTTTAAAATTTAAATCCCCCCTCCCCCATGCCCTGGTTATTCTCATTTCAAAATAGAGACGAACAGCAGTTTAACAGGGAAAATCACTAGAAGTATGATATGGCTTTCTTCTTAACCTTTCACATATTAACACGGCATCAGGATACGTGTTGCCTACCTGGTCTTTCGTCATAATTTGCTCTGTTCGCAATTCGACTCTTTTCTTTGATTATACTATACAACATGACATATCAATTTTTTGTATTCAAGGCTATTGACAAATATATTTTAATGATTTTGGCAATAGAGACATATACAACGTTTACAATATCATCAGATATATCGATAACTGATATTACGTGACAGATATACATGTCAAAGTGTTTTTTCTAATCAAAGCTGGCATGGTACTATACTAGTTACGTAGAGTGAATGTGTATTTAACACATGGTTTAAGAAGAAGTTTATTCAAGAATGAGTTTAAGAAGATACTGTTTAACGACGAAGTATGTCTTTTGGATATCTCTAAGTTATATCATGCCATAAGGGTTTGGGAATGACGGCAGCTTGGCATGCTTGATACATTTGACAAATGAGTCTATTAGGGTCTCGACACATTCTCCGTTTACCATAGCTTTTGGTCTACGTTGAGTAATGCCTAAAATATTTACATGCTTTATATCATGTTCGATCAGGTATGTCAAACTTTTGACAATCCCATATTTCAGAGGCATATGTAAGAATACATTGTAGGTTTCGTCTTCATGTCGAATATCTTAAAGCACATTTCATAAGTTAGATACCCAATACAATTCATGGTTATTGAAGTTCAAACAGTGCTCTTTTGACTTCTAACCATGTAAGTAATATTGAATTTTGCATATTCAAATTTGAACTAAAGATGACACCGAACTATTTCAACATTATTATCATCAACTTTCCAAACACCACATCCCTTGATTGGACCATACATTATGAAAACAACAATTCTATAGTTTTATCTAAATTAACAGGCTTGGATAATTTCCAAGTTTCTCTGTATACCTTCCAAATTGTTTAAGTCGGGGTAATTTATTTTGCCTCTATTGCCATTTGCTCCTAATTCATTTACCAGGGGGGTACAATAACGGATTAAGAACACAATCGCCCTCTGAACGTGTGTGTCTCTGTCGTACCTGTAGGGAGTAAACTTCAGATGCCACAAGGCGGATAATTAACACTGCTGATCTCAGCATCAGGCACAGGTAACATACAAGCACAGGAAGGTAGATCGCGATGGATTCTGCTGGAGGCACCTGCAACATATATTGTCAATATGGTTCGACAGAAACGCAGAGTCCACGAATTCATTCATTGTGAAAGGCGTACGTTCTACCGGTATTGATAATGATCGACCTCTTACAACATCTGTAAATTGCTTTTCATTAACTAAGTACTACTCAATCACATTTTAATCGTGTGGGAATTCTATGACAACCTCTGGAACATATATAACCTTTTGGAACAATGTTTAAAAAGGGTAGTTGTTTGTTGCAGTTTGTTTGTTTCCTTGTTTAAAGCATGTTATAATCAATGTTTATCAATGCTCACTACGCTGCAAAATCCAACCAAGACATTTGTCCGCACGATCATCAAACGGTGTACTTACTTTATTGATATGACCGGATTCACAGAGCCACTGCACTAGACTTGTGACAACACCGCCGCACCTGTCAGATATTTTTAACTTACATGCTTGTATCCAAGAGTGTGTATAGATATACGTACTTGATTGGTACTATGGTTCTAAATGACACATAATAGGTACACAAACGTAGTTATTTGTAATTTTCATTTGTTTCGTAGCCTGGAGGGGACCAAGCCCGGACATGTTGACTGTGTCCGAGTTATTCAGAAACCCACTTTGTTCATTTGCTAACTCAACTTTCAATATGCATTCTTTAGATCAATCGAGACGTTAATGGTTAGTAATACCATAACTTCATGCAGAGACAATATAATATGTCTACATAGAGCTATTTTTGCTCTATAGACAAAGACTGGAAATAGGCACCATACAAAACGCATTATCCTTTCATTGCCAACATTCCTATGACGTATCCAGTGTAGATGCGTGTTTGTGAAACTGAAAAAAAACTCTCAACTGACAGAATAAATTTTTAACACATTTATAACAACTCACAATAAGGCAGAATAGAGAAATCCACATACAGATCCAACCAATCGGTGTCGAGTAGCGATGCATGCAAACAGAGGGAAGCATACCACTGTCACCTCCACCACCCGCAGTTGTAGAATCAATGCTGTAAGAATATAACAATGCATGTAAATTCAAACACAGGAGACCATGGCTATCGATGCATTGTACAATCATGTTATACGTGTACCGTGTGTATAAGTACGCCCATCAGTGAGTGGAACAATAACATAAGACTTCCGTGGTAGATGTGGTGCAATTTGAACGACATTCACACAGATCACTCAATTTCAGGACAAGGACGACGTTGTCGTACGCGGTGGTCCAACTGATTCTATTAAGAGGGCCTAAAAAAGACCTGTACATAAACTGGTTCTGTAGGAATGCTGATGTTACATGTGATGTATACATTATTACTATGCCACCGTCAAATCTACATTCGCCGTTACTTTCCCACCGTCAAATCTGCCGAAATCCCAAATATAGTTGGCGGCAAATTGTCAGTGATGACGTCGGTACGTCATGGCTCTCGAATCAGATCGATTCACCATATATCTTGACTCGTTACTGAGCCTAACAGTTCTCAAATTAATGCTTGTTAATATAAGCGCCAAAACTATTATCATTAGGTGAAAAATACTATATCATAAGCATGCGTTTATTAATCACTCATTGAAACCTTCGTTGGGAAGTGCATGCTCACTTGTACGTTAAAAGATGTGAATTGTAGACACCAAAGGCTGGGGTTCAACACAAAGGGAAACTTGTCCATTTGAAAGTTGAAGTCATCAGTTTTATTGAAAGTCTTGTTGATAGTTTGTTGTAACTATATTGTTATGTATAAATCTAAATATGAAACACATCAGGCGGTTTAATTGGTTTAATTAGATTCTTTTATTTTTAGTTCTAGTGGGTAAATCAGTTCAACGGAATTGACTATTTTGCCATCGTTGAACTATATCAGCTCATTAAATTCTTGGCCAAATTCCCGTGCTTTGATTTTGTATATCTGGGCAGAAATTCTGGTTCATATGTATTAACAAATCCGAAAAAAACAAATCACTGATAAAGCAGAGTCGATTGTACGATTCATACTATATCATGCGTTTATGAATCTTTATCAGATAGTGTTGATGGCAGATACTCTCGAATCGGTGAGCGTATCCTGCTCCACCGGTTTAAGCCGTCACAAACAACCCAGCAGCCCTACATTATTTAAGAAACAAACGATGAGGGGGAGATGTTTATTGTAAAATAAATCACTGCAGGGAGAATAGACGACAGGTCGTTGTTTCGTTTTATGAGATATCAACATCATGTACATGCTCTTTATGGATGTTAATAAAATGTACAAGCTTTAAAAATATTCACCCTTATTTAACTAATGATGACTCCCTGGAGTGCTAGCCAAGGGATCGAACCACCAATGTCCTCTCCATGGACCGACTCTCTAGCCACAGACCATAAATGTGGCACAATAAAACAAGACACAAGCAGGAACACTTACATGGTTTATGTGACACAATCACATGTACAGGACGCGCATCATTGATATGCTTTAAACAGGTGAGTAGCTCGCTTATAATACAGTCAAACACCGTTGTGTCGAGCCTGGATGTATCGAACTTACGGTTGTCTCGAAGTAAAATCATGGTACCTGCGTATTCCTTCTTTATTCATCATTTTCGGTTGAGTCGTACCTCGGATAACTCGAAATATGTACGGTAGTCCCTTCAACATCGACACAAGGGTGTTTGACTGTAGGTTGCGTCATAATCAGAAAATACTCTCACAATAAGCGTTATTCAGACACACATCATAGAGCTGACACATTCAGACAAAACAGTCATAATGGATGAGGCAATGTCCCGCACAATATCGCAATGCACTCATCCTATTTATATATGACACAATCACATCGTAATGAAAATACGAAACATGATAGAATACAAAGTGAAACCCTGTTAATCGGGAACGGGTTAGTTCGGAAGGTTTTAAGGCGATTACTTTTGGAATCTACAATGATCAAAGTGTCAGTACCCAGTAACCAACAAACCTGATTGATCGGGACATTTAACTGAGAAGCGTGCTTTCCCGATTAACTCTCACAACCTTGAATACACATTAGCATACATTTCGATTTCAATATAAAATCAAGTTTACAATATTCGACGTTATTATATATGATGATTTAATATTTCGAAGAATGATGCTCACCAACGGCCCAGAGCGGATACTCAAGGTCGGTGTACAGGATCTCCCAAAACAGAGTTAAGGTTTCGTTAGTGACAGCACCAAAGGCAGCAGCAAACGCAAGTCGATTCTCATAACCGTCCAGGAGATTTAACGGGCTACAAAACAGTACAGTTGGTCAGAGGGATCGGGAACAATGCCAGCGGTTTTACCTGGATTTCAAGTGTAAGAAGAGGACACATAGGCCTGCTTTTCTTCATCTATCTTAAAGGGTAATTACGCCCAGGTTAATTCTCATCCATAGCAAAGTTGACACGTCAAAACCTACTATGTGTCTACCAACTCAAAGCAAATGCTGTGGATCATTTGCAGTTCACTATCCCCATATGAGATTGTGAAATCCCCGTGAGGATCCCTGTTAGCCCCCAGCAATATATGCTTGTCGTAAAATGCGACCAAAGGGATCGGGTGGTCTCATTGTTTACCGGCAGCCGTTACATAGCTTGAATATTGCTGAATGTGGGTTAAACAAACAAACAAACAACACAGTGAAATGACTCATTTTCGCAGTGCACTATCTAAAACGATTCAATATGACCCCAAGGCAGCGGAGCATAATATCCCAACATTAACCTTACAGAATTGAGATTTGATAACAGAAGAAGGAAATCATGGCCAAACTTAGTTCCTCAAGAATGAAGATGGTGGAAGATTGTCACATGTTTGATGCTACAGGTTGATTTACATTTTGTGAGGCAACAATGCGGTAGAGGCGGATGCCACGAGTTGTTGACAGCACGTGGTGGCAGGGACTAAATGAATCCTATTGCATTGGAGAAACATAATAGATTTAGCAATGAACACGAGGGACTGAATTTTAAACATCTCTGCAATAGGCTTTATGTTTACTTTCACTATAAGCAAATTGATGTTCAGGTCAATCGAGATGAGACGTCGCGTTCAAGATTATAACACTTATATTGCGACGTGCATTTGTGTGTTGCGTCATGTACCAGTCCGGACTTATGCCGGTTGTATAGTGCTAGCCAACTATGATACCATGACTTAGTGTATCATGGGTACTCCACTCAGACTCGGTATACTGATTTAGAGCCGATAAGTCCTTGTTTGTCCCCGAAATGCCGAACGCCATGCAGTATAACAATATGTACATCTTTTAGCGCCTTTTGGTATGACGCGGTCCGGGGTCGCACCACCGACCTTCCCCTCTCCGGGCAGATGCCCTAGCCACTCGACCAAGGAGGCGGTCGTTTGATGTTGTGTACTGAACTATTAAACATCTTGATGATATCACCTTAATGGTAATCATATTCGCATCCCTGTCACAAACAAGATAAACAGAAACCGAGACAACCTACATGTATGAACATATCAATGTGAGTAAAGGTCAAGGGCAACTTGTCGCGAGTCTCAAGGTGCAATTAGCAGATGCATCTACCCCTGTGAGGTCGCTGATACAGATGAAAATGGTTACCGGCGACTTCTTGCCATTGGTACACTGTAGGTATCCATCAATGTCATAGTTGATGTGGATGCAAGTTCTACAGGCTTATGCTCTAACGGAAACGTTTGAAAGGAAATATTAAAAAGTAAAAAACAAATTTATTCCCAAACCAAAAGTACATCCTCATGATACAGAGGGAATTACAACCGATTGTGCTGCTAGCAGAGATTTCTAAGAATTATGGAAATGGTTTTGAAATGGCTTTTATTGAAAACATCCCCACACATTGATACCTACGTTGCTGCAATAGCCTCAAGTGTTCGAGGAAAGGGGTCACGGGTGGTGACCATCTTAGGCACCGCAATTCGTTGTGCAGTGTTGCCTCGCTGAGGCACGCCAGAAACCAATGATTGTGGGTTAAAATCCCGGTTCGCCCCGATTATGTTTCTAGGTTTAATTTGTCAGCACCATACCCGTTCTCTTGGGTTTCATGAAAGTGTCAAGACGTATATCACATGGGGCTTTCCTCCCACTTTAAGCTGACGCGCCGTGATATAGCTGGAATACTGTTCGAACCCCACCTCACTCACTCACTCAAGTGTTCGAGGCAATAGAATAACATGGCAAGACATTACTTATCATAGTCTACGTTATAAACAACTATTTCATGGCATTGGCGTCCAACTTCACCTGGGCCTACACCTAGACCTTGACGACGGCAGGGCTGTACCTTCACACAATGTTCTCTGAAAACATGTTATCCTCATTGAAATTTACAGTGATTCATAAGCGTAGACACGCATGAATGTGTCGCCAGTGTTAATGTGACAGGGATAGGAGTATGGTTACTACCTTGAGGATGAGGCTTTTAACGACACACTTAAGGATGATGAATTGGTGTCATGGTAATGCGCCTTGTCTTACACGATCAATGCTGGTCGGCCGTTCCAGATGCCCTTCCCATGCTTCCTTTTCTCCAGGAAAGCCAGCACGAGTATGATCGCCACCTGTAACACGGCACACTTATCGTGGATCACTATCGCTTGTACATATAAATGATTACAATAGTCTAATATATAGAGGCTGATAGGGAAACTATTGTTTTTAATCAACATTAGTGTAGACAGAATAAAAGCCAGATTTGACTTACGTAATGTGCAAATTTAAACTACCTTTACTGAACGATATGATGTAAGATTGAGGTGAGGTGAAATTGGGTTTAACGTCGCGTCCAAGATTATCGCACTTATATAGGAACGTGTCATGTACGTGTATGTGATGTACTACATTGGGGGAGCTCAGTGAACACCGGCATGGGTGGTTTATGTAAAATCTCTAAACAGCGGATTCTATCATTGGACACAGCCCTCAACAACAATTTGGCGTCTTAAACCATTGGACCGCCCGTGCCACTTCATAAATGCGTTTAGTGTGATTAAGATATCTACGAGATAAACCGCAAAGAACAATGAAGAACGAAGTGTGGTTTATTTCACGAAAAAGCATTTTTCTATCATGACGTCATTTCTGGAGATTCGAAGATGCGCTCGTAATTTGAGAGGGGAGTGTTTAGAGAGTTGTTCTCCGCAGATGTAGCTGGGCAACACAGATAAACGCGATGGCCGAACTATCGCCCCCAAAAGAGGGATAGAAATAACAATCGGTATTGGGGGAAAAGGTACAGGTAATCGACGTGAGTATTGTGAGAATATGCGGTAAAGATGCACCTGTGAATAAAATTGCCGAGATCGGATTCCATTGAGGAAGTCATCAATATTTAAAATACCGGTAAGTATTTTAAAGCTTGTACATTTTACATCATCCTCAAAGAGGCCGTAAAAATGTTGATATCTCATATCAGACATAGACGAGCAGCCCCTCAAGGTTTATTCTCCCTGCGGTATTTTATTGCACGATAAACCACTCGTCGTCTACTTCTTAATATATTATCAATACTGTGAAACATGACAACAACTTGGACATGGATAACAACTTCTTTTAAGTCAGAGTCATTCTGACCCTTGTCACCCTAATCTGTTCTGTGTTTGCGTGGAGGAAATTATATCAGCGTGAATACGTACAGCGGGTATTGTTGTAAAGTGGGTGAAGGTGTCATAGTTGAAGAAATTGGTACATGACGTTGTCGGCACTGTTGGCTCCATGTCTTCAACCTGCAAAATCGTCAATCGATCCGAATAACCGGTATCGGCTATCTTATTGCATGAAAAGACATTTTGTTCTCAATCGTACTACCGTTAACACAGCAAAACGTTATCAGAGATACATGAAGTAATATATTGAAGGTGGCGATGTCCTTGTGTGCTACACTATCAGCCTAAAATGGTTGGACTGTGGACTCCAAAATCACATTTTTCATCCTGCCTTGTCCCTATCATGCAATTGCAAATGTACAAGTAACCGAATACTGTTGAATATTGATCTATCTCGTTGCGGTAACTGTGTTAAAGGTTCCCGATCCGTGCTTCAGCATCTATGACGAGTTTTTCGAAACGAACATATATGCAAATCGACATTTAAATAAAGATGTTCTTGTGAGGACCAAAAAACGTAACGGTTTATATTACAGAATTCCGTGACGAAAAGGCGGTGCACGTAATCTGCCAAACGTGCCACTGTAGGCGGTGAACTTGTCGTCACTAAGAAGGGTTGTTAACAGTTACTATATTGTATTTACAAGGGTTGCTGGTGGTGAAACTATCTATTTTAAAAAGTATAATAATGCTTCATTCTCGGTAGTCCAGTGTATAATCGAAGATGTCTTCAAATGTTAAGAAATGACACTGTCCTATATACATATAAAACATTTGATATAGTTCCTTTTTGACCGAATTCAACTTTTGTAATACGTTCACGTTCATTAATGTTTTAACAGTTTCCCTTACACACCAAGCAAATGGAGTTTAACGTCGCGCTCAAGAATATTGCACTTGTATAGCGACGTCCAAGTACGCATGTGTGTGTGTTTCTGTTTGAACTAGCTAGCCCGGAGTGTATACTCACTTCGAACCTGCCAGTCCTTGCTTTACCCCTTTAATGTCGAGCGGTAGGCGGGGTAACATCAACTATACTCTCTTAATGTCTTTTAGCATGACGCAGTCTGGGATCGAACCCGCGACCTTCGCTCTAGACAATTAATGACACCGACGATACGAGGATAGAGGATTAAAAGTGAGCCTCTTAATAAGGCTCCTTACACAATCAAGTATATACTCACATGACCACTCACTTACTATGGGTATAATGGGGGCCTGATCACATTTGGTGCCCCTTAAATATTTGTCAGTAAATCCTGCTCACTGTCTGTGTCTCACACTCCCACATACCGTATTGTCTTCCTCGAGTATCCTCAGGTTTATCAACAGATATGGCCTATGTATCAGGCAGATAATGTCATGACATGACTGAAAAAACAATCTATTACAACACATGGTATCATGTCTGTTGTGTCACAACAGTCCCCGCTTGACAAAGTGATCCGAACCTCCATACTTGACTTCCATGTAGACTTACGTCATTCATAGTGCTAATCAACAGCGTTTTGAAGACCAGGGCCAATTTTGAACCTGTCCCATACGCACAAATGTAGCCCCTGAATTTAAAACGCTGTTAATGAGCACTACTACTGTTTTCAAATTAAAAGCGACAAAACCATTTCTATAAGCTCGGAGTCAGTAGTTGGGTGGTCACAAAAATAACAAATATGAGTTCAATAATCATAAGTAATCTCTCCTAAAAACGAGTCCGTTGTACGATTCCGGCTATACCATGAGCATGTGTTTATGAATCACTATCAGATAGTGATGATACCAGATGATATAGATAGAATTTGCGTTGGATGGTGTATGAGATGGTATATTGGAGATATCGTGCTCAATGTTCGTATATGATTCATCGGTTACCTCGACCCTTCAGCTACGGGATCCACGTTTGTCCACTCAACGTTTGTTAGCGATATTCTGAAAGTCAAGAGAAGAGCAAGAAGAGAGTGGTTGCTTGTTTAGATAACGTCACGGAACGGTTCACGTTATAATAAACAGTACACTTTGCCACCATATACGTAACAGCGTAAGGTATCTATTTATCCAAACATGTAGCATGTGAGTGAGTTGTATTTTACGCCGCTTTTAGCAATATCACGGGGGGGGGGGGGGGGGGGTGAGAGGATGGGGGTGCAGCAGAAATTGGCTTCACACATCGTACCCATTTCGGGAGTCGAACCAGGATCTTCGTCGTGAGGAGCGAACGCCTTAACCACTAGGCTACTCCATCGCCATGTGACGCATTTGTCTCATTCTAGTTGTAATACACCTATTTGATACAACATCTCTTCTACCAGATACGTATACAAGTCTTCATTTATTATCGATGTGATTGTATTTGATGATATCGATGATACAAGGCAATACTTTATATATTAAAAAAAATAATACACTTTTGTGGTGTAAATGTTTATCATTTACATATGATACTTTGAAATATGAAGTTTTTCTTTCACATTATGGGTTTTGTCAAAGTGTGATCTTTGCGAACGAAAGTTTAAACGATTTTATGACACTGAAATGTGTCTGAGAATGAAACGAAGGGCTTTTGTCTCATAAATCATCACCTTCTTCATCCCCTTCTGAAGATTTTATGACACTAAAACACTTGTCCCATGAATCTTGAGTACTCTTTACATTCCATTTTCTTCTGTCCCTGTGAAAATTCCAGAAAAAAATCAAATCTAGGTTTGCACAGCTTGCTGGTCTCTGCTTTCTAGTTATAAGGTGTAAGGCAACGGGGTGTCTTGTAAGTGCCACTCCTGACAGAAAAGCTAATATATATGATAATAAAATGGCATTTCAGTTGGGCACAGAAAATCCCCAACTTGACAAGGAAGGGACGAATCTGATCTTAGAGGTATCGCTTACCGATTCCGAGTGTTACAGCAAATTGTTTTACCGCGAAGTGGCTAGCAATTTATCGATTAATTACTCCTATCTTTTCTGGATGATCAGTGAGGGTGATGCCGCATACTATTATGGGGGCAAAGGGACAGAAAGAATGCCAACTTTTCCCAGCCAAACCTAAAATCTGTCTGAGTAAATCTCATGACAGTGTAATGACCTCTTGCACACGTTGGTTGCTATTGGCGGAACGGGTACGGTATTGGTGTTGATCTGTGCACTCCTCATCACGATCAGGCTGCAGGACCTGCGAGCATTCCAGCATTACACTGGAGGCACGGATTCACGCTACTAATCTCTGTACAATGCTACATCGTTATTTGATAGGCGCTAAGTGTTACATAGGACATACGAGAGCTAAACAATGTGTTTCCTTTCTGTCCTATCTGATGACATTGCTGATATATCTGGAAATCAAGAAAGGTAAGACTGCTGATGAGATGTATTCGTTATTAACCAGAAACAGTATCAAGAAGAATGGGATTTTACTTCAAGAAGATGATGATACTGAAAATAATGACCTCAAATTCAAATAATTCCTATAACTTTCTCCAGTGCTGTTCCCAAATGGTTCACTGGACGATCAAAACTTATTCTTGCCTGTACTGATATTTGTATCATAATTCTGTTCAAACCAAGAGATATCGTAGTTAATCTTTCTGCCAACGAAATTACATTTATTCTGAAGTCATTTTACAATCTCTATATGAATCAAATAGAAAGGAGCATATCAGAAGGTGTCTCTGCGTCGCTGATTCACATTTCGCATATTTATCACCCAAGATCTTAATTACTTATGCTATCATTTCCCTTCTGACCCAGTCCTGCACGTTGAAGGTTGACGTACATGATTTAGTAGCCCTCATGTTAGTTCAGACTGATTTGGTTCTTTGCTGTAAGAAGTTTGAGGCAGTATAATACGTCGCATTTACCGAAACCACTTTTCCAACTTTATCGGATTTTGGTCGTCGTTTGAAAATGCTATTGAAAAGCATAATCATAGTGAAGGAGTCGATATGATCAATTTATCATATTTGATAGGGGCTAAGTGTTACATAGTACAGTGTACATTTGAAATAAATATGTAAAGGGGTGTAATGTATTGTATTCAGTGATTCCAAATACCACATGGATAATTAGATTTATCATATAATGGGTACGTTTCTCGGCAGGATAAAGCCAACGGATAAAAACGATATCCGTTGGGGTCATATGTGGATAGAGATGCAAATATCAAAGGTCAAGTAGGGACTACTTTCAGTGTTTCAAACATGGCGTCGCCCTTGTCATTCGGCAATCGTGTCAGAATTAACAATCGGGAATCTGGATGCACTGCAGGGATAATTGCTATCAATATAAAAAGAACAGTCTAATATACGGAAAATCCGTGTCTAACTGTGACGTAGCTAAGACATTTTATAAGTTTTGGCAACTTTGGAGATATAAATTTCGAAACAATTTTTCGAGGGCACTAGGCCTAGCCAAGCGGGATCAGTAGCCATATCTGTGCTTGTAGACCTCTGCGGCTTGAAACCTTTTCAACAAATAATAATAGTTGGTTTTGGCCGAAATATGTTTCAATTGTTACCTTATTTCGTTTTGTCGCTGTGTGTACATCCGACAGGCCGATTGTCAACAACGTCTGAACGTGGCCGTGACGTCTCATAAACTAGGGTTAGAGTAGCTTCCCTCTGACAAAGGGCAGTTACTCTAGCGGACAGACCGATGGATTGCCGCGAAAGGGAAGTAAAAACACTAAAGTACTGTCGGAAATGGTAGAAAACTGTTTTTTAACTGTTTAAAAAGGATATAATTTTCCACAGACTGTTGTTATTGAAATATCGAGTGACTACCGATCGCCCTACCTGGGTTTGAAGTATTTCAGTCACAAGGAATCCTATCGACAAGTTTACGGGAGACAAATTCGAACGAAAACAGGAAGTTTACATTTATTCTAAGTCCAATGGTGGCAATCTGAAACGGACTATAGAAATATGCGCACGTGACTCCGTTATAATGATCATAATGTAGTCTTCATAAAACATCTAATCGACACACAAAAATCATTTTCAGATGTGCATATGCGAAAATGACAAAATGACGATGCGTTTGTTTTGTTAACATTGCTCAATTGAAGCATGTTACATTACACTTGCATAGCCATAGCCATTGTACACGATATGGCGTCTGAACTGGGAAATGTATACAAGTTCTTTACACTTCAGAGAGATAGAGGGAAACCATTTATTGATTTAGATAGGCTGAATTACCGAACTGCCCAAGCTATTGGGTTTTCAATTCATACCATCAAGTCTACGGAATGATAAATAAAACAAAACAGGTATAGGGGTGGTCTCAAAAGCAAAACTGGGACGTAAAGGATATTAGACAGTTTTGATACAGGGAGATTAGGCAAATAGTGTACAAGCTTTATGAACAGAAGGTAACACTGACTTGTAGTAGAATTAGGGAGGAATTAAAGATATAGTTAATGTTAACTGTGCTAACTATTGCTCTCCAAGAGATGGGATTTCGATACACTGCGCGTGGGGATGACCGAGCACTTTTCAGGGGAAAATATTCCATCCTGTCTATGAGGTCACATTATCTCCGAACCATCCATAACTATGACTGTAAGGGCGTCCAGATAATTTACCTTGATGATTCACTCCACTGATGTGGCTATCGGCAGATGAGCAAAAAGCACCCACAGACCATCAGGTAAAGATTATCGTGTCATTGTTTTGCACGCTGCAACCCATGACATGGGGCTTATTGGTGGATGCGTGCTAGTTTTCGAGGTGAAAAAGAAAACTGGTGATTTTCATAAGTAAGTTATAGTAGGTGATGTGTTCATAGACTGGTTGGAACTTCAGCTACTGCCCAGTGTTATTGTCATGGATAACGCCAGTTAATATAAAGTCCGGGAATCAGATACTGTCGCCCAAACCATGAGTAGTCTGAAGTCGACCATACAAGAATATATGACACTGTCGACTCCAGACCATATGAAACGAAAGAACAGGACATATATGCTGGCGGCCAACACGGTTACGTTGTGTTACGTACGCCAGTCGGACATTGTGAGCTCAACCCTGTTGTGCCCATCTTGGCTAAGTGTAAAGGGTTCGTGGCAAGACTCAACACAACATTCAAAATATTTTGAGACCACCCCCAACTCGGTGACATTTGCACCTGTGAGAATGCAGGGGACGGTGTGAGGTCATCACCTCGGGACAGGTGTTTGGTAATTACCTCAGGTTATAGGCCGTTTCATACATGCATGACAACACACGATAATTTTCTAAGTTGATCATCATTTTACCTGTAAAAGTACATTTTCAGTGTCAGTAAGGACAGGCTAGAATAGGGCAATTTGCGTTGTTTTGATATATGCTCTTTTTATAGTCATATGATTCGT